GAGAGAGTGATAGAGAGAGAGAGAGAGAGAGCAAGTGATAGCAAGCTAGACCCTAAACCCTAAACCCTAAACCCTAAACTTAAAGTGAGAGATGCCACCCTTGATCAAGTTGAATACTTCATACATATTATAATCTCACACCTACTATCTAAGGTTACTAATTTATGCCCTACCAAATAGATTGTCAACCATGAGGGACATTTAACATTTTTCAAACTTCATTCCATGCTTTTCAAAAATTCATTACTTGTCACTTCAAGTTTGTAGTCTTATTTTCTAAAGAGAGAAGTTAAGAAGAATGTTAAAAAAAAATAAAAAAACAATATATCAATATTAAAATTAAAACATTATTAAACTTTTTAATAAGAATATATGTAAAATTTAAAAAATGTATAATCAAAATATTAAAATATTTTCTAGGAAATTTTAAGTATTAATATTAATACATAACTAAATTTTTTGATAAATTATAGAAGTAAATTTAAAAAAATTAAAATTAAATATGTCAAAATATGTTTTTCTAAGAATGCTTGAGTATCAAGTTTTTTTATTAATAGGCCAACTCCTTATATTTAAAATTCAAAAGCTTCATCCATATGGATCCGTTATATTTGAAATTCAAATTCTTTTTTGCTCTCTCTCTCTCATACATTTTAAAAATTTTATTGCAAATTACAACAAAGCCCTCCACTTTGCTTCATAAGGAAAAAGCCGTTGGGACGTCGCATCACCTTTTCTTATCAAAAGAAAGGCATAGATCTCCGTCAATTTGACATCAAACGGTCAGCGCAAACGCGGTGGCATAGTCGTCGTTTCAAGGAAATGGGAGGGCTTTTAGAATCGCAAATTGAAAATAGACGGAAAAAGGACTGTTCTTTTAACCATAGTTAATGACGGGAGAACGCTTAACCGCAGTTAGCTGCCAGCTTGTTCGGCCTTCTTCGTTTTAAAATGGGGAGGGGTCTGTTGTGAGGAAGAGCACCGAAGGCGTCTTTGTAAACGCCAAACCCTAAATTTCTCTCTCACTCTCTCTCCCTAAATCTCTCACTCTCTCCTCTCTGTGCATCCATCAAGGTTTTTTCCTCCGATCGAAAATGAGGGAATGCATTTCGATCCACATTGGTCAGGCCGGTATCCAGGTTGGGAATGCGTGCTGGGAGCTTTATTGTCTTGAGCATGGCATACAGGTATAGTTCTCAGCTTCTGATCCTTCGCTATTTGTTGTTTTTTAATATTTTTTCGTTTTATAGGTTTATCTGTTCTTGGATTTATCAGTTGGTTCTTTTTATGCTTAGATCTGTGGTTTCCTCTCGGGTTACCATTTGGATTTTTGATTTTGTGGAAGATCCAGTGTTGTTTCTTTCTTCTGTTTGAACTACGTGAAAATGTGCCTTAACTTGAAGTTAAAGGTAGCGTAACTCGGTTAAAAGCTGAAGTCGGCTCTTCCATTTGGTTTGTTTTGTTCGGATCTGATTTAGTTGTTGTAGATCTACATCTATGAATGATAAGTTGTTTAGATCTACATCTCTGATATTTTTCTTTTCTTTTTTTCAATTAACTGTTGATCTAATTTTAAATCGGCCTAGTTTGTTTCGAATGCTGGATCTGGCACTTATGTTGGTTGTTCTTGTCATTTTTGTTGATTGCAGATCTGCATCTCTTAATTGATTGGTTGCCCCCTGATCCTCTATTAAATTATAGAAATAGTAATATTTGAGTCTTAATTGATGGATATATTTGAAAGCTAGCCGCTTTTGGATAAATTCGTGACCTGTCGCTTTCATGGGTGAGATTTGCATTGAACCCAATGTCACCTAATTTGGTTGGTTTTCTCTGCTCATCATGGAACATATTTGCGATGTTTTGTATAGCCCGGATTCGCCTAAGAGACATACATGATTTAGGGTTCCCCGTCGAATAAAGCCAAGATCAGGGCTATCTACGCTTTTTTCTTCAGATTCTGAACTAATTGGATCCACTTTTTCCTCTTGGTGTTTTGCCGCTGCCATGTAGATCTGGAATCCCTCATTTGAGTGGACACATTTACATACACGGATCTGATATTCTGCTTATCCATTGATGATTTGATGCAATTTTTTATTATGCCAATTTACATATCATTCGCTTTTAAATATTGGATTTAATTAATAGGTCTTGCGGTTGTTTTCTTGCAGCCAGATGGCCAGATGCCAAGTGACAAAACAGTTGGTGGAGGTGATGATGCTTTCAATACTTTCTTCAGTGAGACTGGAGCAGGGAAACATGTTCCCCGAGCTGTTTTTGTAGATCTGGAACCAACTGTTATTGATGAGGTGAGGACCGGAAGCTACCGCCAACTCTTCCATCCCGAGCAGCTCATCAGCGGCAAAGAAGATGCAGCCAACAACTTTGCTCGTGGCCATTACACAAGTAATTCTCTTCTTCTGCTTCAGAAATTCTCACATCTCACCCATCTTTGAATCAATCATTAATTCCTTCCATCCATTGGTGTTTTGCAGTTGGCAAAGAGATTGTTGATCTATGCCTTGACCGGATCAGGAAGTTAGCCGACAACTGCACCGGTCTTCAAGGCTTCCTCGTCTTCAATGCTGTGGGTGGAGGCACTGGATCCGGCCTCGGCTCTCTTCTTCTTGAGAGACTCTCTGTCGACTATGGAAAGAAGTCAAAACTCGGATTCACCGTCTATCCATCGCCACAAGTCTCCACCTCTGTGGTCGAGCCTTACAACAGCGTCCTCTCCACACATTCCCTGCTGGAACACACCGACGTGGCTGTTCTTCTCGACAACGAAGCCATCTATGACATCTGCAGGCGCTCACTTGACATTGAACGCCCGACCTACACCAACTTGAACCGCCTTGTCTCGCAGGTGATTTCATCCCTTACCGCCTCGCTAAGGTTTGATGGCGCCCTAAATGTGGATGTAACTGAGTTCCAAACCAACTTAGTTCCATATCCGAGAATCCACTTCATGCTGTCATCGTACGCTCCGGTGATCTCGGCTGAAAAAGCCTACCACGAGCAACTCTCCGTTGCTGAAATCACCAACAGCGCCTTTGAGCCATCCTCCATGATGGCCAAATGCGATCCTCGCCATGGAAAATACATGGCTTGCTGCTTGATGTATCGCGGCGATGTGGTGCCGAAGGATGTTAATGCGGCGGTGGCCACCATCAAGACGAAGCGCACGATCCAGTTTGTGGACTGGTGTCCGACGGGATTCAAGTGCGGAATCAACTACCAGCCACCGACGGTGGTGCCCGGCGGCGATCTTGCGAAGGTGCAGAGGGCTGTGTGCATGATCTCTAACTCGACGAGTGTGGCGGAGGTGTTCTCGAGGATTGATCATAAGTTTGATCTGATGTATTCGAAGAGGGCGTTCGTGCACTGGTACGTGGGCGAGGGAATGGAGGAGGGCGAGTTTTCAGAGGCCAGAGAGGATTTGGCTGCTCTTGAGAAGGATTATGAAGAGGTTGGCGCTGAATCTGGGGAGGGTGATGAGCCTGAAGAGGGTGATGATTACTGATTAATTTTTTTTTTCTTCTTAATTTTTAAACTGTGTAGTGTTTGGTTGTGAGAGAGCTCTGTCGGTGTGTGTGGTTTGTGTTAATTTTATTGTTATGTTTCTGTGTTGGTCAGTTGGTCTGGTGGAAATGCTGCTGTTTCGTTTGACAAAATGCTACTACGAAGACTTTGCTTGCTTTAAGTTTGCTTTTGTTGATTAAATTACATTGTTGATTTCATTTTGTGATTAGAAAAAAAAAAACCTAAACAAGCACTCTAAAAAAGCAAACTCTCAGCTTTCATAAAACAGAACTTTTCTTCGCAACATTTCTCCAAGTTATGCTGATACAGGTGCGATATCGGCACAAAACCGCCTTCTTTGTTGCAAATCCAGCCATGGGCCGCCCTCAAAGCAGCTCCCAAAGAAGCAGAATCTATGACAAACAATTCTTTAATAATAGAGGGCATAGATGCAATATATTTATTGAGAGGTTTAATGGAGAAGTATAGAAAGAATAAGAATGATTTACATATGATATTTGTTGATTTAGAGATAAAGCATATGATAAAATTTCAAGTGAAGTACTCTAGAGAGTTCTAGAAAAGAAAGGCGTTAAAAAGTTGTTAAAGATATATATATGCAGTAGCTATTACTTTTGTTCAAACACATGATGATTTGACCAAATATTTTCCTAATAATATCCTTTTGATTTAGTCATTGATGTTCTTACTAAACATTTGCAAGAGGATGTACTCTGGTATATGTTTTTTGTTAATGATATTCTTTTTGTTAGAGAGTTTAATGAAAACTTGAATTATGGAGATCAACCTTAGAGTCTAAGGGTTTTCATTTGAGTAGATCAAAAATATAATACATGGAGTATAATTTTAGCAGTAATAGATCTAGTGGGGGGATTTTGACTTTGAGAAATCAGTTATTAAAAAGAGTATACAATTTAGATATCTCAAATCTATTGTTCAAAGTGATGGTGAAATCGAAGAGGATATTATTAGTAGAATTTAAGTTGAATGGATGAAGTGGAGGAATGCATCAAATCTATTGTGTGACAGAAAAGTACTCCTCAAACTTAAGAGAAAATTCTATAAGATGGTGGTGAAACCTATAATGCTTTATGGCATAGAATGTTGATCATTAAAAGAGAAGCATACATAATGAGTGGCTTCACTCTTGGAGATAGAATGCATAAAAAGGCTAGAGTAGCTCTAGTGGCAAATAAGATTAGAGAAAGTCGCCTTAGATGAGTTTAGTCATGTAAAATGTCAGCCTTCTGATGACCCGATTAGGAGAGTAAATGTATTAGATTTGGCCTATATTAAGAAAGATAGAGATTGACTTAAAAAGACTTGGTTAAAAAGTAATAGAATCAATAGTTTCTATTAGATTTAAATTACAATTTGACTCTTACCAAGATATAATTTAGAAAAAGAATTCATGTAGCTGACCCCAAGTAGTAGGAGAAAAGCTTGATGTTGATATTGTAGTTGTCATTAATGAGTTAAAATCTTAACCCTAACAAAAACCATAAATCTAGAGGAAGTAATGCATAATGCATTACAAGGAAAACATCATGAGAACCGCACATTGGCGAGGAGGGTAAAACATTCTTGTTGAAATACATACCAGGCCTTTCAACTGTATATACAGGACATCCAAAAATGGCAGCTATGGCGTTAAGGATGCTTTCATTAGCAGAAGCCCCTCCAGTGGCTATTATACGTTTGGGAGGGCTTGGCATGCCAAATCTCTCAGCATGGCCTCTCATCGAAAGGAACTGCCCTTCAATTAAGGCACGTACCTAGCAGAAATAAAATGATCAACTATTCATCAAATATATACACATACACACTCACTAAAGCTTTCAAGTTCTTTCAATTCATCAAAACTATTCACGTACCTCTGAAGGATCATCAAAATCATTCACCTCATGTTCCTCCATCTCTTCCAAGGAGTTGCTACTTAAGTTGTCAATCACATAACGATGGAACCCAACTACACATATTTAACATCAATCAATACAGATTATATATGTCTTTTTCTATGAAATCAGAAGACTATTATAAATGTTATACAAGTATACCAAATTACCAGGCATGGGCGGCACAATTTCATGCTCTTTATAGTAGAATCCTATTTTTCCACCTGTGCCATATAACAAAATATGACAAAACTGTAATGATAGTTGGAAACTGAAATTATATAAAACAGTAATAGCAAATATGAAATTGCATAAACAGGATAAAAAAAGTAAAAAAAATGATCAATTATGGAAAAGAAATGGCCCTCACATCAAGAACAAATGAAAATAGATCCTTCTGATTCTTCTACATTAGGGAATTCTATTACATTTGATGCTTATATAGATTTAATCATTTCAATTTTTTCTACCAACTTTGAAGTTGAAAATATCATTTAAATGAAGTAATACTTAAAAACAAATTTATGAGTTTCTAGTCAGGTGAAAAGATCATATCTTAACTCTCCAGATAAGAGTTATTTTCACCATATGGGAGTTGACGCAAGATTGGCTTTCATACAGATCAAATCGATCCACAAAAGGCCAAGTGATTATAGGCTAATTACTAGAAGTCAAATCAAGCCACATTAGATCTAAATTAAACCAATTTCAAAGCCATTTTCATTCGTTTTTTTAATTATAAATGAATTTCTCACAATTTTTAAAATTGAAGTAATTAACGTGAAAATGTGCCTTAACTTGAAGTTAAAGGTAGCGTAACTCGGTTAAAAGCTGAAGTCGGCTCTTCCATTTGGTTTGTTTTGTTCGGATCTGATTTAGTTGTTGTAGATCTACATCTATGAATGATAAGTTGTTTAGATCTACATCTCTGATATTTTTCTTTTCTTTTTTTCAATTAACTGTTGATCTAATTTTAAATCGGCCTAGTTTGTTTCGAATGCTGGATCTGGCACTTATGTTGGTTGTTCTTGTCATTTTTGTTGATTGCAGATCTGCATCTCTTAATTGATTGGTTGCCCCCTGATCCTCTATTAAATTATAGAAATAGTAATATTTGAGTCTTAATTGATGGATATATTTGAAAGCTAGCCGCTTTTGGATAAATTCGTGACCTGTCGCTTTCATGGGTGGATTTGCATTGAACCCAATGTCACCTAATTCATGTTTCCCCGTCGAATAAATCCAAGATCTGGGGCCATCTATGTTTTTTTCTTCAGAGTCTGAACTAATTAGATCCACTTTTTTCCTCTTGGTGTCTTTCCGACTGCTATGTAGATCTGGAATGGACACCTTATATACACGGATCTGATATTCTGGTTATCCATTGAGGATTTGATGCAATTATTTATTATGTCCATTTACATATCATCCCCTTTTAATCCCCCTCAAGTGTTCTTAAACATATATAAGATTTTCTATGAAATTTTAACTAATAGGTCTTGCGGTTGTTTTCTTGCAGCCAGATGGCCAAATGCCAAGTGACAAAACAGTTGGTGGGGGTGATGATGCTTTCAATACCTTCTTCAGTGAGACTGGAGCAGGGAAACATGTTCCCCGAGCTGTTTTTGTTGATCTGGAACCAACTGTTATTGATGAGGTGAGGACCGGAAGCTACCGCCAACTCTTCCATCCCGAGCAGCTCATCAGCGGCAAAGAAGATGCAGCCAACAACTTTGCTCGTGGCCATTACACAATTGGCAAAGAGATTGTTGATCTATGCCTTGACCGGATCAGGAAATTAGCTGACAACTGCACTGGTCTTCAAGGTTTCCTCGTCTTCAATGCTGTGGGTGGCGGCACTGGATCCGGCCTTGGTTCTCTTCTTCTTGAGAGGCTCTCTGTGGACTATGGAAAGAAGTCTAAACTCGGATTTACAGTCTATCCCTCGCCACAAGTCTCCACCTCTGTGGTCGAGCCTTACAACAGTGTCCTCTCCACACATTCCCTGCTTGAACACACCGATGTGGCTGTTCTTCTCGACAACGAAGCCATCTATGACATCTGCAGGCGCTCACTTGACATTGAACGTCCAACCTACACCAACTTGAACCGCCTCGTATCACAGGTAATTTCATCCCTTACCGCCTCGCTAAGGTTTGATGGCGCCCTAAATGTGGATGTAACTGAGTTCCAAACCAACTTAGTACCATATCCGAGAATCCACTTCATGCTTTCATCCTATGCGCCGGTGATCTCGGCTGAAAAGGCCTATCACGAGCAACTCTCCGTTGCTGAAATCACCAACAGCGCCTTTGAGCCATCCTCCATGATGGCCAAATGCGATCCCCGCCATGGCAAATACATGGCTTGCTGCTTGATGTATCGCGGCGATGTGGTGCCGAAGGATGTTAATGCGGCGGTGGCCACCATTAAGACGAAGCGCACGATCCAGTTTGTGGACTGGTGTCCGACGGGATTCAAGTGCGGAATCAACTACCAGCCACCGACGGTGGTGCCCGGCGGCGATCTTGCGAAGGTGCAGAGGGCTGTGTGCATGATCTCTAACTCGACGAGTGTGGCGGAGGTGTTCTCGAGGATTGATCATAAGTTTGATCTGATGTATTCGAAGAGGGCGTTCGTGCACTGGTACGTGGGCGAGGGAATGGAGGAGGGCGAGTTTTCAGAGGCCAGAGAGGATTTGGCTGCTCTTGAGAAGGATTATGAAGAGGTTGGCGCTGAATCTGGGGAGGGTGATGAGCCTGAAGAGGGTGATGATTACTGATTAATTTTTTTTTTCTTCTTAATTTTTAAACTGTGTAGTGTTTGGTTGTGAGAGAGCTCTGTCGGTGTGTGTGGTTTGTGTTAATTTTATTGTTATGTTTCTGTGTGTCTGTCTGGTGGAAATGCTGCTGTGTCGTTTGAGTAAATGCTTCTTCGAAGACTGCTTGCGCTAAGTTTGCTTTTGTTCATTAAATTGCTTTGTTGATTTCATTTTGGTATATTGTTCCTTTGTAAATTATAATGGGTGGAGCAGTAAACTTAAAAATTATCTGAAGGTGCCTAAACCCTTCAATTAAACCAAGGGTTTAACAACAACAGTTCTTATGTACAAAACGATATTTAGAAAAGCTGTTAAGAGGTATAAAGTTTACTTTCTATGCTTAGAACAACAACAACTGATACATAAAACGTATTTCCTCGTTCACATAAACAAATAGAAATCCATCAAAATCAAGACATAAATATTATTTTGTGCATGTTGGTATTGATATAGATGAGAATGATCTTTCAGTCCTTGGTGCGACCGAACTTTTGGACAAGATTTTTCTCTATCTGCAGCCTCTTGTTCATGAGTATGGTGTACCTGGAAAGCAGGTCCTGGTCTCCAGCAGGTTTCGCAAGCTTAGCAGTGAGGGATGTTTTCTCCAAGTTATGCTGATACAGGTGCGATATCGGCACAAAACCGCCTTCTTTGTTGCAAATCCAGCCATGAGCCGCCCTCAAAGCAGCTCCCAAAGAAGCAGAATCTATGACAAACAATTCTTTAATAATAGAGGGCAAAGCATATGATAAAGTTTCAAGTGAAGTACTCTAGAGAGTTCTAGAAAAAAAAGGTGTTAAAAAGTTGTTGAGGATATATATGCAGTAGCTATTACTTCTATTCAAACACATGATGATTTGACCAAATATTTTCCTATTTCAAGGATCAACTTTAAATATATCCTTTTGATTTAGTCATTGATGTTCTTACTAAACATTTGCAAGAGGATGTACTCTGGTGTATGTTTTTTGTTAATGATATTCTTTTTGTTAATAAGACTAGAGAGAGTTTAACGAAAACTTGAATTATGGAGATCAACCTTAGAGTCTAAGGGTTTTCATTTGAGTAGATCAAAAATATAATACATGGAGTATAATTTTAGTAATAATAGATCTAGTGGGGGGATTTTGACTTTGAGAAATCAGTTATTAAAAAGAGTACACAATTTAGATATCTCAAGTCTATTGTTCAAAGTGATGGTGAAATCGAAGAGGATATTATTAGTAGAATTTAAGTTGAATGGATGAAGTGGAGGAATGCATCAAACCTGTTGTGTGACAAAAAAGTACCCCTCAAACTTAAGAGAAAATTCTATAAGATGATGTTGAAACCTATAATGCTTTATGGCATAGAATGTTGATCATTAAAAGAGAAGCATACATAATGAGTGGCTTCACTCTTGGAGATAGAATGCATAAAAGTCTAGAGTAACTCTAGTGGCAAATAAGATTAGAGAAAGTCACCTTAGATGAGTTTAGTCATGTAAAATGTCAACCTTCTGATGACCCAATTAGGAGAGTAAATGTATCAGATTTGGCATATATTAAGAAAGATAGAGATTGACTTAAAAAGACTTGGTTAGAAAGTATTAGAATCAATAGTTTCTATCAGATTTAAATTAGAATTGACTCTTAACAAGATATAATGGACCCCAAGTAGTAGGATAAAGGCTTGATGTTGTTATTGTAGTTGTCGTCGATGACTTATAAGGAAAACATCATGAGAACCGCACATTGGCGAGGAGAGTAAAACATTCTTGTTGAAATACATACCAGGCCTTTCAACTGTATATACAGGACATCCAAAAATGGCAGCAATGGCATTAAGGATGCTCTCATTAGCAGAAGCCCCTCCAGTGGCTATTATACGTTTGGGAGGGCTTGGCATGCCAAATCTCTCAGCATGGCCTCTCATCGAAAGGAACTGCCCTTCAATTAAGGCACGTACCTAGCAGAAATAAACTGATCACTTATTCATCAAATATATACACATACACACTCACTAAACTTTCAAGTTCTTTCAATCACACTTACTAACCTCTGAAGGATCATCAAAATCATTCACCTCATGTTCCTCCATCTCTTCCAAGGAGTTGCTGCTTAAGTTGTCAATCACATAACGATGGAACCCAACTACACATTTAACATCAATACAGATTATATCTTTCTTTTTTCTATGAAATCAGAAGACTATTATAAATGTTAAATTAAGGTTTCGTTTGGGACGACTTTCTTACTGTTTCTTAAAGCAGTTTTTTAGTATAAAAAATTTAATTTTTGTATTAAAAAATCCCTTCAAGAAGCATTAAGAAAGCCGCCCCAAATGAAGCCTAAATCAACAAGTCAAGTATACCAAATTACCAGGCATGGGCGGTACAATTTCATGCTCTTTGTAGTAGAATCCTATTTTTCCACCTGTGCCATATAACAAAATATGACAAAACTGTAATGACAGTTGGAAACTGAAATTATATAAAACAGTAATAGCAAATATGAAATTGCATAAACAGGATAAAAAAAGTAAAAAAAATGATCAATTATGGAAAAGAAATGGCCCTCACATCAAGAACAAATGAAAATAGATCCTTCTGATTCTTCTACATTAGGGAATTCTATTACATTTGATGCTTATATAGATTTAATCATTTCAATTTTTTCTACCAACTTTGAAGTTGAAAATATCACTTAAATCAAGTAATACTTAAAAACAAATTTATGAGTTTCTAGTCAGGTTAAAAGATCGTATCTTAACTCTCCAGATAAGAGTTATTTTCACCATATGGGAGTTGACGCAAGATTGGCTTTCATACAGATCAAATCGATCCACAAAAGGCCAAGTGATTATAGGCTAATTACTAGAAGTCAAATCAAGCCACATTAGATCTAAATTAAACCAATTTCAAAGCCATTTTCATTCGTTTTTTTAATTATAAATGAATTTCTCACAATTTTTAAAATTGAAGTAATTTATTAGGTTTATATTTTCTCTTGCATAGAATACTTTTAAATTTGAATGGTTTTTTTTTTTTCAAATTGAATAAGATTAGTTCCGCATTTAAAAGTTTGTCATTATTCTCGTAATCAATTTCTATAAGTAGGGGTTCATAATATATATATATATATATATATATTATTGATTGATGATTGAATAAATAAAATTATTTGTATATATATATATATATTTTATTATTGATTGATGATTGAATAAATAAAATTATTTGTGACCAATGGAATCCTCACTAGATCCAATTTGTGTACGTGTATCATTTCAAGTTGCGAGTTTTCTCCTCCTGAACAGACATCCTAATTTGTCAGCCAAGTAAAACAGTGAGCATTCATAAACAGCTTAGAGAATGATATTCATTTAATAAAACAATAGTTCTGATCAAGATTTATAGGTCATAGAAGAAAATAATGTTATTGAGTAGCAATAAAAAAAATTTTCCAAAGGTTTTGCGTTGTTAGGCTATTAGGGAAGTTACCAAAACAACCTAAAAATGAAATAAAGAATCAAAATCCAAACCATTTAAAGGAGGTGTGTTCTCCAGGCACTTGTTGAACACTTCCCAGGAGTGCTCAGCGTGAGAGTTACGAATATCTATCAAATAACATAAACATATTAATGGAGAGAGGATATGAGAAGTTTACAAGCTTGTAAAAAAAAAAGAAAAAAGTCAAAATCACCTAACCTTCTCGCGTAAGAGATCCATTTTTATAAACTAGCATAACCATATAGCATTCGGGGTCAACAGGATTGGGAAAAACATGCCCTTCTAGGCTGGGTTTTAGCTCGGTGGTTATTCCAAAAACCTGACAATTCCAGTCAATCAATGTCAAAGCTCTCAAAGTAGGTTTAAAGCAATGCCTTTAAGGAAAAAGAGATAAAAGAAAACTCACTGTATCACTGGTTCCAAGGCTTATTGCTAGATCTCCAGGAGTATTTAGGGTCAAACCTGCAAAGTAAAAAAAGGTCAAAATTAAAGAAAAATGCTAATTTAAATCAGGCACATAATCTTGATTGAAAATTAAGCTATTATTCCTCAGAGAAGTCCAAAATCTTAGCATTTAAATGTTAAGACATTTCCTTCTCATCTCAGTTTTTTTTTTTAAAATAAATTTATTTCTCTCAAATGCAACAAGCTCATATTCATATTGCACTCCACTATGAACATGCTTTTAATGAAACAGGATTAGAAAGAGTCATCAAGAGCACATGAAAAGGTTGGAGATTGGAGTAGCTCCAACGGAATATAAGAATAGAGGGAGTCGCCTTAGATGATTTGGTCACATAAAACAACAACCTTCCGATGACCCAATTAGGAAAGCACATGTATTAGATTTGACTTATGTTAAAAAAAGTACATGTATACCTAAAAAGACTTGGTTAAAAATATTAGAAATGACCTTTCTTTATTATATTTAAATGAGAATTTAACTCTTAACATGACACAATGGAGAAAAAAGGATTGATGCAGCCGACCCCACATTAGGATAAAGGCTTGATGTTGTTGTTGTTGTTGTTATGTTTTCTTCTTGTGAACCTTAATTCTACCTCCCATAAACCCTAAAAATAAATCCATAAGAGCCCATTGCAAGCTATAGGTCCTCTATAATGCTAAAAATCCTAATTTGCAATATCTAAGTCTTCACCCCCACTACAAAAACCCTTACATACCTTCCACTCTTCACAAGTTCTAAACTTATTCCTCCACTCTCCAAAGACCATAAAATTATCACTTAAGCCTTACCAAAATGGTCTCATCCCCATGTTAAATGCTAGTTCCTAGCGTTATAAGGTTCACCACCACAAATAAACCTTGATTTGCAAGCCAACATATTCACAAGCTTTCCATATCTATCCTTTCACTTCTAAACCCTAATACAGTTTCATGCCTCTTGGCCAAATTTCATTCGGCACCAAAAATAAGCCCCGCATATAACATAAAAAACAAAAAATGATTCCCTTACAAACTATACCCCTCCGACTTCAATAGAAACCTCACAATACCTAACCCTAGCTACACCTTAACTACTCCAAAAGCCTTCCTACATCCTTCCCATACCCTTAGAAAAGGAAGAGCAAGTTAATCCTCTACAAAACAATGAAACATTGCCACCACCTTTATTAATTTTCCACTCTATGTATTATTTTTCTAAATAAATTTACTTGTCCAAACAAGCATCAGGTCTTTCATGAATAAATTTCAACGCATGTTTGTAGTCACCTTTATCCAATATTTTGTTTTGCATGTCCTCCACTCTTATCATGCATTCCTTTCACATGTAGAGCAGTCTATTCCAAAAATTCAAATTGATACTTGCTGTGTTTTAGCCTCTTGCTGAAGCTTCAATCCTGTTCTCCATTTACGATCCTGTTAGCCCTTCACTAGGACCACAATAGATCGTCATTGACACTTAAGGTCTCCAAGCTATAAATTACTACAGATTATCCATTGTCTGATTTCTCATTACCATGCAGATGTTTCACCAAAAAAGAAGAAGTTTTTCGATTTAATTTGGCTAATTTAACAAAAGACAACATCTGCTGCCACATAGGCAGTTAAATGTATCAAATTTGATTTAAATAAAGATATATTTAGGCATTATAGAATTACTCAATAACTTGGTAAAAAAGGTAACAATAATGATCATAAACCTGCCAAACTATTTGGATTGTCTCCTGACCACTGAATGACCAAGCAGTCCTTTTGAAAGTGGAACCTGTCAAAAGAAATGAAGTCAAAACTCAGCAGAAATATACTAGTCATTGGACATTTCAGTAGGGAACTGCAACTACGCTCAATAAAAAACCATTAAATACTTCAACTAGACAAAATACCAATGACTAAATGCACTGCACCGGTTTTATAGATCAGTTTTCTTTTTTCTTTTTTTTTTTTCAAACCTGCCTATGAATTCGTGATATATGCCATGTTGAACCTCAATACAATTATACTGGGCATTCATGATGTAGATAAAAAAGCATATATAAAAAAATGTTTACTCTGAAATTATGGGCATTAAAAATCCCCACTAGACATGTTGAAAATTTGAGACTCATCTACTTCGGGGTAACAAACTAAGAATTTGAACTTTGTCCATCCGCTAAGGTTATAAATGAAAATTGAAGTGGTGAGCATAAAAAGTTTCCAATATGAATAGGGTGTCGCAAGAAGAATTATTTCCATTTCAAAAAAAAAAAAAAGTTAACACTAGAACTGATAAATAGTTATCAAGATCAGTATTGGTTATTATCGGGCTTGAATGAACAAAGAAAGAAAAAGAATTTGCACCTCTGGGTATAATATCCACAAAGTTAATGCATGCAAGAGTGCAGTGGAGTTTTTAAACAATTGGAGTTGACAAGGGTGGGGCTTGTGACTTGTGATAATATAGAACTTTCATTTTATCATGCAACAAACTGAAATAAACAGGTTAAAGAAGTGTATACCAAAAGTAAGGAGCGGTAACAGAATATTCTACATAAAGTTCCATTTCAAAAAAATATGTCAACATAATCACAAGGAAACTTCTAGTTAATCCTAAGCTTTTTAGAAAATAATAACTTACCTCTCCACAAAATAAGGAGATATAAATCCAGCAACTGCATGAGGTGGTGCCAAATTCCCAAGCTTTTCTTCTAACTCTGGTGCTGTAGCCTGCCAGAGAGATGTAGAATAATAAAAAATAGCAATTGCATAGAAATTAGCATCAGCTAAACCATCGAAAGCATACCTCCAAAACAACTTTAGACCAGGTACGCTGTTTAATGTCCATCAGGTTCATTCCTGCTGCATCGGTCTCATCTATACTAGCATATTCTCCAATAAGAAGACAGGCCATAAAAGAACTAACAAGGGAGATTCTCTCAGTATCATCATATACATCTTTCTTTGTCTCATACAACTTCCGGATTTGGGGTCCTGTGTATCTTTCATAAGCACGGGATCCAGTAAGTTTAGACAACTCCAAAGCACCTCCGACAGCTTTCTCTATTTCTCTACACTGAGAAGTGGTGCTACTGTCCATCCATATTGGTGATTCTGCTGTAGAGAAGGCATTACCAAGCTGAGCCACTAATGGCTTGGTATGATCTAGTGCTGCCAAGGTAGCTGAACTCCCCTTCTTCCAGTAAACGCTTCCATGTTGCTGTCCACTTCCCGAAATTGCCACAACTTTTCCAAAATCCACTTTTGATTGTAGCTTTTCGAGCACAACATCTAGTGCCTCCACCCACATCAATGTAGGAGAAACTATCCTACCATTATCCGTGAGGTCTCTATAAACACCATCTTGGGTCTTGTAGTGGGGTAACTGAGAGTCAAAATGAACAGCTTCTGAACCAACAATGGTAAGATTTGAATCAAGAACAGTTACCTTCATTGACCTGTTAATTAAATTGAAAGTTTGATATAATTTAATTGCATAAAACAGAAGAAAATTAAACATGGACAAAGTACACATAATGAAAGAAACATAACAAAGAATATATCCCTGTTTGAATGAATGGAAAGTGAAGCAAAGAAAATGGAAAATGTAGTTTGTAGTTTGACTTTAGACTCTCTACTTTCTCCCATTTCAATTTTTTGAATTTTTGAAGTCCCACACGACAATGCACATTTTTGCTAGAATATTGTGAATATAGAAAAGAATTTCCCTACAGAGTTTCAAAATGAAAAAATAATTTTCCTCAATAATCTGCTACAATCTTTGAATATTATTAAATGAACTAGCTCCTGATTATTTCAGTACTGGAATATGAGGCCACTAGGCCAGGAAATCCTATCAATTAAAATCAGCTATGGAAAAAAACAAGGATTTGAACAATGATGTGCGCATGACCTAAATGTTTATTTGACATGGTGGTTTACGCCATGCTTTTTTAAGCTATGGTAAGTGAGATGAGAATTCCTGCATCTAAATCAACAATGTAGGAGAGAAAAAATAAATAAATAAATTAAACAATTCAAACATTTGGTTGGGCCTAGTTAGAAAATAACATTAATTTTATGTTCCACAAACCCTCTAAGAACTTTGGAAATTATTCTGTGTGGACTCCGAACGTAGAGAATCGTCCAGATGCTGCATATGGACTGCGTATGAACTGCGTATAGACTGCATATAGATTGTGTATGGACTGCGTATTTGTCGATATGCAGCAAATAATAAGTCAATCATTAATTGTGAGTATTTATCGAGTATTTAGTGAGTATTTTCTGCATATCTACAAATACGTAATAAATACGCAGTCAATATGCAGTCTATACGTAGTCCATACTCAGTTCATATGCAGTCCATACGCAGCATCCGGATGATCCTCTATGTTTGGAGTCCGCACAGAATAACTTCTCCTTAAAACTCCCTCAAATGTAATGTATTAAATTTCAGTGAGCAAATGAAATCATAAGTTTTTCAAAACTGGTTTTCTAAATGAGCATTAAAACAGGAAATCAAAAGGCAAAGATTTAAAAAAAAACTCTAACATTAAAAAACCACTTGCTACTCTAATTGAGAAAATAAGAAAACTGCTCCAGCAAAAAGAAAAATGTACATCATCACTCACACTCCATCCAGTATAGAATCTCAAATCCGACATCAAAACGCCAAGACGCCAGAAAACTTACTGGGTAGAACTATCAAAGCCCAAGAAAAGAGAATCATCAGGAAGTGAGCACGCCATCTTCTCCGCTCTTCAATGAATCCAATCAGCTCCGTGTCGAAGCTCAAAGTGAATAATTTATGGGCAAGGCACAACTGAAATCTGCTTTTAATAGAAGAACGGTGACAATAGGGGCTGTTTGGATAGAGGATTAGGGAACAGCGACTGTTTCGCTCTTTTTGCCGTAAATCCCGGATTTAGGAGTTGTTTGGTTGCCTGAAAAAGAAATGCAGTGTAAAGTAAATGTAATGTAAAGAAAATGGAATGCATTCCAAATGCTTTGAGCCTGTTTGATTGCCTGCAAAATAAACGCAGGAGAATTATTTCCCTTGTTTGGTTAGATATATCCAGAGTAAAGTAAAAACTTTTTTTTTAATAATTTATTTTTGCATTAAAACTAGTGTATTTATAAAAGCAATGTATTTACCATAATTAGTATTATTTGGTGTTATAAAATAAAATTAAAGTATTTATTTATTGCACGATCTTATAATAATTTCTTTGAGCCTGTTTGGTTGTCTGCAAAATAAACACAGGAGAATTATTTCCCTTGTTTAGTTAGATATATCCAGAGTAAAGTAAAAACTTTTTTTTTAATAATTTATTTTTGCATTAAAACTAGTGTATTTATAAAAGCAATGTATTTACCATAATTAATATTATTTGGTGTTATAAAATAAAATTAAAGTATTTATTTATTGCACGATCTTATAATAATTTTTTTACGATATAAAATTATGCTGTGTATAATAGAACAATCTTATATTCTTATTTGTTCATTATAATGTTATACATCCTAAACATGACGAATTTATGAATGGCGATGTATATTTATTTGTCCTAGTAGTAAAGTTTTTTTAGTGCATTTCACAATAACCATGTTTAAAACATACTGCTAGGTAGAATCCAAAAATGTATTCTCAAAGCGTACCAAACACATAGAATGTGTTTTCTAAAATTTTAAAATAATTAAATTTGCTTTTTAAAAATAACAACTTACCAAACTTGTTTTATGACCTCTTTAATTTATCTTGTAAAAAACAAAATTAAAAAGGGGGATTTACATACATGCCACTTTGTTATACTAATATTACATATCTAACATCTTAAACTTAAATATTTCATATATACCACTCAAATACAAAAATAACATCAGAATTACCATTATGTTTTCACTCTGTTATTCCAGGGAAGAGCTACATGTTGCGATGTGATGCGGAACCACTTAAGCTGGGAGGACATCTTACCTACGGTTTTTTCTTTCCGTTATGCTTATGCTCATTAGTTCACTCTCCACTACCTATATTACCTTTTATGTTATTTTACAGCTTATTTCAACTTTTTATTAGTTGTGACTTTTCTAGTAGGATGAGAAAGGAAGAACATATATAGATGTAAGGGAAGAAGAAAGAGATAAGGGAAGAAGAAAGAGATAGAAAAGAATATACTCCTTGGTTTTTACCTGTTTTATGGTTTACAGAGTTACTATTCTATTCGTTGTTTTGCTTGTCTCATTCCTATGCAAATTACCTACATCACGATGGTTCAACCAGACCCAAGTATTAACAAGAAGGCCTTCACGGAGGAGGAAGAGGAAAAGGCTTCTCTCAGCTCACTGGCTATATGGAAATAAATGGGCTCTCATAGCAAGGTTGTTCCTTGGAAGAACTGATAATGATGTGAACAATCACTTACATGTAATCATAGCAAGGAGGCACATGGAGCTGTCCAATGCCATTAGAAGGAGAAAGCCCTCAAACTCCATTTCTTCTTTTTCTTCAGCTATTGCATTTGATAAGGGCTTGCAGGTGATCTATTGCAACAATGCTTGCATTGTTGAATCAACCATCTCCAGCAATAGAGATGAGTCTTTGTCTAGCGGCACTGGCCTGTCCCTCGACTTCTCTCAGTACAAAGCAAGGAGTTCATTGTCAATACCTCGCCAGAGGAGCAGATCTTAGCAGGAGTGAGGACTTGTTGCAGACGGAGTGAGGCTTGGTGGAGACGGAGTGGTAATTATGATGTTATTTTTGTGTTTGAGTGGTATATATGAAATATTTAAGTTTAGGATGTTAAATATGTAATATTAGTATTATAAAGTGGCATGTATGTAAATCCCCCAATTAAAAAACATGAGAACAAACATGCCTTAGCAAAACATGTCAAATAAGCAGCAATGAACCTTTACAGGAATTTGGCATTCATCAATAGGAAAATCGTAAGAAAATATTTGGTAAGAAAATATTTTGTGTTAAATAAGTTACGAAGAACTCTCAAATAAATGAAAAAAGGAAAAATCTTCAATCCTAAACTCATCAGTTCAGTTTCCCTGTATAAACTAGTTTTATACTGGAACCAGTACCGAGAGGGGAGCAAGTGAAGCAAGCAGGTGCTAGATTTGTTCAATATTTTTTACCAAATCATGTACTTCGAAGGATTGACGGGATTAGGCCGAAGAAGCGCGCGAAAGGGATAAAGTTACCTTCAGAACGTACGAGCTCCCGTCCTTACTGCCGATGAAAATGTCGCAACTTCCGATCGGACAGGCAAAGGGAACGTCATCGAAGGAGCGAAGTCGAACAAGAACGAAGGAGCCGAAGAAGCCTCTCGTGCAATCTTACACCTCCTGCGAAGCACTGAAGCCGAACAGCAAAGACGATAATGCGAAGGATTTCTTCATCGAAGGCATTTATAACCCGCTTAATTCCGATCAAAATTAACCAACAGCCAAATTTAGTAAATATTACTTTACCCTCCTAATTCAGTCAATCAAATCTAAACCCTAAACTAAATCCGGCGGTTCGGCTGATATACGGGATTTGGCCGAACTGTCGTCGTCTATGCTTCCAATCGAACAGAAGAACGGCGAGGAGTTATGATTTCGGATCCCACCGGACTTAACAGGATTTACTAAGTTAAATACTACTTGTTGCCAAACAGACCCTAAAAGGATTAGTAAATAACAAAATGGGATAAGATCAAAACATCTCAATCCATTCGATTCTTCCAAAATTAAACATTTTGGATAATGATTTCTTTTGATCAAATCCCCTGGATTCCGGAAGATCGTCGCCGCCCCGCCAGCTCGCTCTGGTTGGTTCTCCGCTAAGTCCTCATCGTTCCGCATGCACAGCCTGTCGGACTGATCTAGGCCGTTAACGTTTTGATAGCAAAGCTCAATTATTTTGGGCCATAATAACCCTCCAAAGTATACTTTAATTGGCCCACCCCAACCCATCCAATTAATTCATGGACTTTTTTTCTAACATTTGAGTGTATTTATATAAAATAAACAAAATAAAAAAAGAACAATTTTAAAAATTTTAGAAATTGAATTAACTAACAGGCCCATAATTAGTAAATTTCAAGTGGTTACTGCTGCAGCTGAAGTAATTCTTCTAATTTTTTTCCAAGTGTTTGAATCCCTGTTTAAAATTTTATTTTTACCAAAATAAATAGAAATAAAAAAAAATTTTAATCTTATTATACAGTTCTTACATTTATTTAAATTAAAAGAGATTCATATACGTATGAATGTTATTTTTTAGTATTATAAATAAATTTAAGACGATGCCCAAAGTTGAATGCTACTATGGTAAAAATTCAGTCACACTCAAGAGAGGAATTTAAGTAGTTCAATCCTATGATCTATATGAAATACGTATTGATAAGAGTTAATTGCTCACCATTTTATTTAAAAATATTACAAAAATATCCCAATAGGAATATAAAGGCTCGCAAAATATTACAAATTTAAAAAATTTAGAGGACCATATTATAGAATTACTTTACAATTATTCGAGAATAAATGGATATGAAGTTGCATAATAATCCAAATCTTTAAATCTTTTTATGCAATAAAAATTTAAGGGTCTTAAAAATCGAATCGAATCGGCTAGTTCAACCAGTAGAATAGTGAACTAGTCGGCTGGACATTTCAATTCCGAACAAAAACCACCTTCTCGTCGGACCTGCGAACCTAATGTTGTTTGATTTTAAATCAAATAGCCAATAATAAAAAAACCCAAACAAGCAACCTAGTTACATTTGATCCTCCCTCCTAGGAGAAATTATTGTGTACGCAATCCGAACGTGTTCGGATGTGCGTACACACTGCTTATTTTGTTTCGTATTTTTTGATACAAAATTTTTTTCGTGACAAAATAAATAGCAAATAAATAATACTCACTAAATAAACAAAAAATACATAGAAAAATTATGTATCAAAAAATACGCAACAAAATAAACAGTGTGTACGCACATCCGAACACGTTCGGATTGCGTACACAATAATTTCTCTCCTCCCAGGCCATAATTCATTTCGACCGCTCGAGAGTTTGTGTATGCATTTTTGTTTGTCTCCTGATTGCCCTAACTGCCGCTACCATTACTTGGTAGTAGTGAATCACATTTCCATGATGACAATTTTGATCAACAGAAAAAATTATCATGTATGGGCACAGCTTCAGAATTTCCAGCTCCATTGTGATGGATAGATATTAGAGAGTTAACTCACAAGCCATTCCTAGCAATGTTTGTGGCTTATGACAAATACAAAGCTTAAGATGACCACAGCCATCCATCCACAAGAAGAAAACCAAAAGGAGGTAATGAGCATGTCAATGGGGCTATCTCTTACTATATTACATCAAGAATCAGCCTTAAGCCCATATCTTTTTTGCTTTAGTCATGGATGTTCTTACTAGAGATTTGTAAGAGGATGTTCCCGGGTGTATGATTTATGCTGACGATATTCTTCTTGTTGATAAGACTAAAGAGGGAGTTAAAGAAAAACTTAAACTATGGAGGTCGACCTTAGAGTCTAAAGGATCTCGTTTGAGTAAATCTAAAACCGAATACATGAAGTGTAATTTTAGTAGTAATATATCTAGTGGGATATTTATAACTTTGAGCGGTCAAGTCATTAATAAGAGTACACATTTTAAATATTTTGGATCTCTTATTCAGAGCGATGGTGAAATAGACAGGGATATTATTAGTAGAATTCAAATTGGATGGATGAAGTGGAGGAATGCATCGGTCCTATTGTATGATAGACAAGTACCACTCAAACTTACGAAAAATTCTATAAGATGGTGGTTAGGCCTGCAATTTTTTCATGGAGCAGAATGTTGGCCATTAAAAAAGAAGAATAGTATTGAGTTGAGTGTTGCATAGATGAGGATGCTCAGGTGGATGCATGCTTTACTCTTAGAGATAGGATGTGAAATGAGCATATATATGAAAAGGTTGGAGTAGCTCCAGTGGCAGGTAAGATTAGAGAGATTATTTGGAACTGAGTAACCAAAGAAACAATAAGAAATTTACTCAATTGAACCGCTCAATTTAGGCTCTAGGCCGTCTATGGTTCTTATCGCTGGAACTCCAAACTCAAGAGAGATGAAAATGGAACAAAACTTGGGTGGTTTAAATTTGGAAGAACTTATGAGAAGTAGGGAGGCATTGAACGTGACACAAGTTAAAACAATCATTCTAAATAGTCAATAGGAAGAAGCGCCTATAAGAGTCTGGGTGCCAAATATTCATTAATAATAATGATCAACCTGTCAAATAATTGGCGGTTGAGATCGAGAATTGTCGGTCATTAGCAAAATATGAGGGATACATTAATTCATACAGTATAGCTCAAGTTAACTAAGAACTTTAACTAGTCAAGTAAACATCATTTGATAGAAAACACTTCACAGGAAAATTAAGTGTTGTAACAAAGCTTTGATACAACAACAATAAATCCTAGTAAGTCTAGACATTTATAAAAATCAGATTTAGCCATAAAACAGGAAAGAGAATAAGCTAGAATTCAAGCAAACATGAAATCAAATAAAATTTCTTAAAGAACACAAACAGAACGCTGCAACACGTCAATGATACAGTATAGCCGCTTGAGCCGCAGGAGCAGTGCTAGGAAACAGTTCCATAAGCAGTATTACTAGCTACAATGAATTACAAACTCTAAAAACTTTAGCAAATCATCTTGTTATCCATCAAAGTGTACCCAGATGTTGAAATCCCATGATGCTTTGATCTTTGAATTTCAACATAAGGGCGGATGCAATTAAAACTATAGCAAACTAACTCACATATCATGGCCATGTAGAAAAATCAAATGAAAAATAATTCACTCAAACCACAAAATGTAACAATCTGTTTGTAGTTTTCATGAATTCGGTGGGATGTTGGCGACCATAACATAGATCTGTTTGAGAAAAAGGTTGGCTATGCTTGGCCAGCATTTTAACAATTGGAGAAATATTGACCCAATCAAAACTTTGCATCATCTGGGTTTTAATCAGAATCCAGTTCCATCATAGGAAAGTCTAGAATTAGTTTTAATCTATGTTGGGAGGCCATGTACTCCAAAACCCCCTTAAATTATTGGTGCTATGTGGCTACCACTTTGGAGAACTGACTTCATGAAATCTCAAAAATCATATCCTTTCACATATCAAGCACAATTTTCTAAAAATCCTAGAATCTCCAAATACTTCCATATGTATCTCTGTTATATTTGGATGCTATTGCAGTGACATTTATATGATTTAAGAATGCATATTTCTCAACTTGTTAAAATAGTTCCAAGACTTCAGATTCAGCTGTTTATTTGGCTTGTCTGGATAAGAAAATGGAGGATCAGAAATTGGAGAAAATTTTTCCCAACAAATTTTAGGTTGCTTATGAGTGCACAATAATTGATTTGAACTTTTTTTTTTTCCATTTACTTTCACTCAAATAAAGCTATCATTCAAAAATAAGCTTCATATATTCCTTCTTTTCCTCATGATGCAATAACTATCATAAGTTACAGATTATCTTTCTAACAATTACCTTTATCTGTTGTTACACTTATTAATAAATTAATAGAGAAACCTAGCATGCTTGATTGATTATTATTTAAATCCACAAATCCTTGTTCTGGAGGATATATCATATGTTTATCTAGTTTTTATATCCTCAATTTGTTTAAGAGAATGTATTTCATTCAAACAATTTGATAAAAAGTCATGATTAATTTACAAAACAATCTTTCAATAACGTCAATTAGATATTATTTCATATAACCATGGAGATTGGATAAAAGACCAGATATTTTGATGCTAATTTTAGGATAAAAATCAATCTCAGCATAATTTAATTAGGATTATGGTATGTTAATAATTTGTCCCAATCAATAAAAAGAAATCAATTGTAGCAATATTAAAATTTAGGAGGATTTATATGCATAGCACTAAAAACACTTATTTACATATTGAACATCTAAACTTTATTATTTACACATATAAGACTTAAAATTTTAAACATGAGAAAATACTTACCCACAATTGCCATCAATATCCTATATCGCACAGCTTCTTCATTATCTCGCCAATTCCATCGTTGTTGACACTTTCGCTCCCCGCCGATCCAGTTGCCTTCATCGCATGCTGTTGTTCGATGAAACATAAGGAAGAGGTGACTAAGCTCACTACGGCAGCACACCAATGGGGCTGGCATAGAGAAAAGAAAGTCGCATTGGAGCTTTGCTAAGTCAACGCTTGACAAAATTGGCTAAGTTGCGATAGAGCCAACAAGACAGGAAAATGAAGTTGCAACAAAGCTGGCTAGGGCAAGACTGAGTTAAAAAGGTATTAGATTATGTAAATATTGAAGTTTGGATGTTAAGATTTCGAGTGCTTAATATATTAATCCCCCTAAAATTTAATCTATATTCCGTTATTCTGATATTGCTACTGTAAAAAAAAAAGTTTAGATCATTTGAATTCATAATTAATAATTGAAGTTTTCCTAATAAAAGAAACTTTTACTGTTCATATGCATAGATATTGGAATATGATCAAGTGTGCAATGCTAAGCTGTACTAGTTGTGTGCATGAATGTAGAGGTGATTTCTTTTAGCGAGAACAAAGTTTCTTTTAGAGCATCATTTCAAACTAAATAACATCATATTCCAATTTAATAAAATTGATGTGATAATAGAAAAACATGAAAAGTCTGAAACATTTCTAGTTGAACCTCAATTACTAATAAAAAAAACAGGCAAGATGATGCCATAATGTCTACCTGCATTCCTACACGCTACTCCTTAATCACTGCACCCTGCGCCTGATAAATATGTTTTTAGAGTCGCAAATCCACGTTATGTTAGATATGTTTTCCAAGTATAATCCAATTTAGAAGCTACACAGATTAACTTTAAAAGGAAATAGTCGCTTATTTTATAAATATCTTATAATACAGTTCAAAAATTAAAAACAGCATAAGCATTGCCCAAACATAAATAGTTGCAAAAGTCAAAAACAAGATACACAGAACACTGGTATATTTCTTTTGAAATAAATGTCTATGAATTTAAATTGTATTATCAGCCTCAGCACTAGAGTAAGATGTGCAACTTACAAAATAAGCTGATCACTAAAATTTCAGAAACTAAGCATTTGCTCCTCTCAAGACGGTTGCTAGTAGAGAGTTAGGCCTAGAATTCTTAGATATTCACTCTGCTGATATGGCCAAAAGTTTTCCTTAACGTAGATGAGGAAACATTTTTGCTAGATGAATAGTGCATGTAATTGCTTATGGCATTATTTATAGTTATCATTTTACAGCTTTGGGGCCATATAATACCAAACTTGGACAAAAATGGTTTAAATGTGATGTTATTTATTGAATATACTCATAAATCAGCATGTATCTATATTTCCTTACAGCTTTAATATGCAAAGCAAAGTGACGCAATTTGACAAGCATACAAACAACTAAAAAATATAATCTAGAACATCATTAATTTATGATGGAGAATTATAACATCAATAAGATATTCAAAATTCAAACATACATAACCATAATTACCGTGCACCAAGGAGCTTTAGCTCATCTGATATGATCATCGGTTTCTAAGGCAGAGATGAGAGGTTTGAGTTCAACTTGTGACCTTTAAACTTATTTACTAGATCCATGTAAGAAATTTGATCTGATAACTAGAATTGTGCGGGTTAGGGATGCCTCTACACATAAGCTTATTATATATTTTGCTCATTTTCCTCTCCTTTATTAAGCAAAAGGTAAATGCATTATTCCACATCATACTTTTCTCATACTCAGGCCATCTTGCTGATATCTTTTTTTTTTAGTACCCAAAAAATACCCTTAAGGTATAAATATAATCAAGTATGATATTTGGCAATGTTTTTAATTAACTATGATTGATAAAGGGCTTAATATTTATCCAGCTACTTCCTTTCCCTTCTATATTCTATTCATGGTTTATCTTTTAGTTGTATGCCTGCCATTTGCCATTAAAATTAAACTTTTGAATGCACCAACTAAAGAGTTAAATGAGTGTTCAATTTTGAATATTTTGTCATTGATTTTGATAATATTGGTATAGTTTAAATTAATTTATTCATTTCAAGAATTAGCACTAAGGGTATGTTTGGGACGGCTTCACTGCTGCTTTGCTGTATAAAAAGATAGTAAATAATGGTTTGGCATATTGCGTCAGAACTAATTCACAGAAATTTCTGCGGCCCAGGACTGCTTCCCGCGACCTTGCCTGCATCCTGCGGTTCGCTGCTTTCCGCTGTTTCGAAGGGCTAAAATACCGTAAATGCCCCACTCATGTTCTCCCTCATTGTCGGCGATGTCATTTCGTGAAGCAACGTCAGAAATCCATCCTATCCTTTCTCCAAAAACCCTCACCGGAAGCCCACAACGCTTCCGGGAAGACGCCTTGCCAGATTCCGTCGACACTGCAGCCAATCCAGGCTTCAAACCTCGAAGGAATCTCCGCCAAAGTTCCTTTGGCGGATGAGGTCAGAGGAACTGACACTCCACCAGAGAAGATCTGTCGCTCACTTTTCACTCCAAAGTTAGGATTACACTTGCTCCAGCTTTCATGTCCCCAATTATGAAACACTTGCTCAAGCTTTCATGTCCTCAATTATGAAAACCCCCCATCTCCTCTCCCATCCGTTCCTCCCCTAAGGATTAGGCGTTGAAGACCTGCTTGCCCACTTTTTCGTCACCGACTCCGGCGAGGAAGGCCGTTTATCGTTATCTCTACCAGCATTACCGAAGTCGACGGCTGGCTTCGATGATATGAGTTCGACGAGCACAACGCCGACTCCGGCGAGGACGGCTGGCTTCGTGGAGCCGCAAGTTTTTTTTTTCATCTAATTATATTAAATTGTATCAAAATAATTTATTCTCATGCTTATCATTATTATAAAAATTGTATTTATTATGAAATAATAAAAAAAGTTATTATTAATTTTTAGTGTATTTTAAAGTATGATATTACATTGTAAAAAAAAGTACTTTGATATTTAGAAGTCATAAAATAATTCATAAAGTGGATACAATTTTTAATGTAGAATTGTTAGTTTATTATCATATAAATTAAAAAAAATTGATAGTTAACCAATTTCTTTCATCACAATATATATAAGGTTATAAACGTAATTTATTCTCATACAGCTGCAGCACAGCAGCTCGACAGTTATACTTCACAAATAAAATATACTACTTTCTATACATCAACTTCAGAACTCGACTTTTTGTACAACAACTTTACAACCTGATTTACCGACAACTGCAGCCGTCCCAAACGAAGCCTAAGTCATCTTCATCGCAAGTTGATTGAAACATTTTCCTCCTCTACTCTCCAATCATTGGCCTACACTTGAATTATAAAATGTCATGAACTCCTACAATACCATTACAAAGTTTATATGATACTAGTAAATTTACAGGGCATTTAGTGTATATCCAATATGCTAGAGAATATTATGTTCTATTCATATCACATTGATGTTGCATTTTTTATTGTGATACTCTCTCTTTTTTTGTCGATTTCTTTATAAATTATTAATGTTTTTTTTAATGTTTCAAACTATTTTAAAAATACCATGCACCACATTGTACTCCCACAGAGAGATGGACATTTTGATTTGCAGTTACTGGATGCTACCACATCCTTGACCCTTGCTAGGACAGTATTCAAGAACTTAAAAGGCGATAACAGGACAGCAAAGCTGTCTGCAGCATGATCATTAGCAATATACAGCACACAGGTAGAAGAAGAGATGCAACAAAATCAACAAACTGAAGCTGTTAAGGTCCATAAATGCTGGCACTCATCCAAACTTGGTACTAATGGAGTTGGTGGATATTGAATCCATAAGAGGAAAATGATAGGAAATACTTGAGTTCGCAAGTAACCCTAAGGTAATACTTGAGTTCGCAAGCAAACCTAACCAAAATCAGCACAAACGAAGAGGAAACTGCTGTTTTGTAGCAGAAAACAGCAGTTTTTCAGTAGAAAACAGCAACTTACAGCAAATCAGTGGAAGAAATCTCAAGCAACATTAAATCTGGTCAATTTTGTGAGAAATAAACCAGCTAAGATAATGGAAGGCCATAAGGTATTAATAATCCCCGTTATGACCTGGACAACTCGGGTATCTGAGCCCTGCCAAATTGCTTCAATGAACCAAGTGCCCAGAAAAAGTTAAGGGCATGGATACCTCATGTGAACAAAAAGAAACTATAAGTTTAGAAATCAAAATAAACTTACTAGCAAAACTAATCAGCAATGAAACGGTTGAATGTATATATATATTATTTATTTATTTATTTTTTTTTTTTTTTTGAAACGGTAGAAAATATGAAGCATGGAAAGAAATATCAGCACATCAACAGCACAGGTGTAAAAAAGTTCTGTTATTGCATCAAGAAAAGCTGATAAGGTGTGTCATAAAGAAAACTAGAAATGTTAGGGTGTAAAAAACTCATGAAAAGCAAGCAGCTTTCCTAGCTATTATCCTGTTTCCTTGAGAAAATGCAAATTGCACTTCACGTAGGCGTGAGATGCCATTCTAATCAACTCATGAAATCAGAAAAAGATACGGGTCACAAAAACTAAGGCTTCGTTTGGGACAGCTTCATTCTGCTTTTTAAAACGGCTTTCTTTCAGCTTCTTCCAAATAAAGCCTAAATCAAACTAATGAACATTCAGAGCCTTTTTGTCAAGATTCACGATTGTTGACTACTTGTATTGTAATCTACTTCCTTGAGACTTGACATATTTTATTCTTTTTGAAGGCAACTTGTTGACATTCTAATCAACAAAACCCTGATTTGGGAAAAATAATATTAAACAATTTAAAGATTACCCATGGCATGTTCTATGGAAACATATTAAAAAATAAATAGAAATATCACCAAGGCCAGACAACCCTCCCGCCATATGCAGAAAGAGAGAATCAAGTTGACAAACACTTGAGATCACTGGTAGTATTATGCAATAAGTTTTACTGCAATCCATACAACTTTCCAGATAAGAGTTCGACATAAAAATAACCAAACAAGAACTCCAGTACAAGAAGATTTCAATAGTTGTTGGGAGCATGTATTTGCACTTAACAAGTTTGCAGTTGCTTCCCTGAAAGATGTGCATCTGCAAAATAAAAAATCTCCCTAGAAATGTTCCACTGATCTGGCCTAAAACCTAACTGCAAAATCATATGCTCATCCAGTTAACCATTCCGTCTTCAGCTGAAGGATGCCAACATGAAGCAGAATGAACAAAATATATCAATTACCACATGAAATACAGGGGATATATATGAGAATATTTGTAAGTAAAGTTCAACAGTAAAAAAACCGCTTGTATTTATCACAATAAAACTACATTTCATCTTCAGCATGATCAGTGAATCAGCACAAAATAAAGAAGGCATAATATCAAAAAGATAAAGATAACCTTCACATAAAGAAAAATCACGGTGCAGTGGTTTCACTCAGTACAAACGCTTGAAGAAGACTCTGTGCAGCATGAGTTTGTTCAGGAGTTCCAGATATTAGTATAACGGTTTCCTTTGCATCAGGTCTAGGTTCAGTGATGGTTATTTTGGCCTCTGATATCTGAATATTCAAAGATTATTGGAAACTTAGTTAGAATTGATTGATCCACAATTGAAAAAATCCAATAATTTCTAACCTCACGAATCCGCCTCAAGCAGCCTCCATCCTCTCCATAAATGGAAGGCACGAGGGCTCGAGGAACAACAACGTCCACCGTTGCATGACTGACTGCGGCTGACTGGTTTCCTCTGCAAATTTAATAAACCAGAAAGAAAACAAAGAAATGAAATGGTGAAAATGCACATAAAAAAATAAAACCTCTAAATGTGAACTGCCGGAAAACTACTGAGGTCCAGTTCGTTTCAACACAAGTGCTTTGAAATAATTCATGATGTGTTCCAAATGTGAGTTTCATTTAGTGCTATTAAGTCAGCTGGGCTTGACTATAATCCATGAGCACGGCCTTCTAAAACTCTTAACTAGTCGGCCATAAATAGTATGAGCTATGAGCATAAATGGGTTTATCAAAATGGGTTGATGGTTAGACATTAAGTTCATTTATCATTTAGAACTCTGATCCCAAAACAAATTCCATTACTATCTGCCAGCTTGATATTGCTCGAACCCATAACCACTTATAAACATGACTAAATTATTACCAATATATCACCTAATGTATTGCTGATATTACACATCAATCATGTAAGTATTATTAATTTTTAATTGGAAAGAATAAGTTTTTTATCAAGCCACTATAAACTAAAGCATACTACAAAATTATTTTTGAGCTCAAACTTAATTCAAATAGGTTTAAATTGATTTTAAGTCTAAAATAGAGTAAGTTTCTATATTAATTGTAATTTGAGAAATATATTATATTATCAATGGGCCTAGCGGGCCTTCATGGGACACCAGCTAAAATCTATCACAAATCTGAGCAAGTCCAAGGCCATGATATCCCTAATTTCATCTTAGTGAGTTTAAGTGATCTCTATTTGTTTAGCAGAAGCCTAATGCTTACAAACCAAGTTATTGCGTTTGTTTGGACTACAATGAGTTCCATTGTGCCCAACCTCCTATTGATTTTAAATTATTTTACTATAATTATAAGTACAAGTTCATTTATCATCCCATTAGTCTTATATTTTTATTATCATTAAATGCAACAGAAAACAAAACCGAATGTAACTTCCAAGACTTCAAAAGTAACACTCACTCCTCCTCACCTTTATAAAGGTGAGAGCAATGTATAAAAACACGCTTTCATTCACTTATAAGTTTCAAAATTGAGCCTCAAGCACTTCCAAGCACTTATCTCAAAACGAACTAGCCTAAATGGATTAATGTCTAACCCTGGGAAACCACCAGTTCTTCTAGAAGGAGCTCCTGCAAAATCAGAAATAGGCATCGGTCCACCACCTTCTCGCATGCCCTGTAACAAGTTAATCAATAACATCATGAAGTAATTCAAAATAGAAAAAAAAAGTTGTATAGAGCAAGTTCATTATAGGTGAAATGCAACTAATAATGCTTCGACCAAAATAATTGACACAAGTTAGAAGCATAAGGTGCTCAAACAATAAAGGGGAATATCTTTAACATAGAAGAAAACATGCAGTTATGGATAGAAAAGAATATTGGCGGTGATGCTTAAAAAATATACAATTAAGTAGAAGTTTTTTACTTAGAATTTTCTATTTCTTCACAATGTGGAACTAACTACAGGAGTTAAAGAGGAATAAATTATTCAACGCCAACATAAGATTTTCTTTTCTTTTCTTTTTGGGTCAAAGAAGAAAAGCAATGTCTTTCATGATTGGCAAAAAAATCTCCATGGGCAAGGACATGTACCCCCACCACCAAAGAGATGAAAATTTATGGACATCATTGAAACTAAAATAGATTTTTTGTACACGACAGTCGTTTAACTACATATTTTCAGAATGACAAGGGCTTGGCACATGTTGGGCGTAACTGGGGTTGACTGCATAAAAGGCAGCCTACCACTCGACCAAGCTCGTCAAAATAGTAATAAATAACTAATATAAATCTTTTTAATTTTAAAACATACTGAAATAATAGGCCATAACATTTCTATTTTTGGTACTTTAAAAAAAATTATCCTCTGTTGGACGGCTTTTTTTGCTTTAGTCATGGATGTTCTTACTAGAGATTTGCAAGAGGATATTCCCTCATGTATGCTTTTTGCAGACGATATTCTTCTTGTTGATAAGACTAAAGAGGGAGTTGAAGGTAAACTTCAATTATGGAGGTCAACGTTAGAGTCTAAAGGTTTTCGTTTGAGCAGATCTAAAACTGAATACATGGAGTGTAATTTTAGTAGTAATAGATCTAGTGGGGGGTTTGTGACTTTGAGCAATCAAGCCTTAATAAGAGTAAATGCTTTAGATATCTTGGGTCTATTATTCAGAGTGATGGTGAAATAGATGGGGATATTATTAGTATAATTCAAGTTGGATGAATGAAGTGGAGGAATGCATCAGGCTTGTTGTGTGATAAAAAAGTATCACTCAAACTCAAAGGGAAAATTCTATAAGATGATGGTTACACCTGCAATGCTTTATGGCGTAGAATGTTGGCCATTAAAAGAGAAGCATAATATCAAGTTAAGAGTTGCAGAGATGAGGATGCTTAGGTGGATGAGTGGCTTTACTCTTAGAGATATGATACGAAATGAGCATATACGTGAAAAGGTTGGAGTAGCTTTAGTAGCAGATAAGATTAGAGAGAGTCGCCTTAGATGGTTTGGTCACATAAAACGGCGGCCTTCCGATGACCCAGTTAGGAGAGTAGAAGTATTAGATTTAACCTATGTTGAGAAAGGTAGAGGTAGACCTAAAAAGAATTGGTTAGAAAATATTAGATATGACATTTCTTTATTAGATCTAAATAAGAATTTGATTCTTAACCGGACCAATGGAGAAAAAGGATTTACGTAGCCAACCCCACGTGATGGGATAAAGGCTTGTTGTTGTTGCATGGTTTAGAATCTTTCACATTTAAATTCAGAGATAAGCTTAGCAGTAAGAGTTCTGAAGTCCGATGCAATAGCAAAATATCTAATTACCTGGGGTGCCCATGGTGCTGGAGGCGCTCTTTCTGAGCCGAGAGGAGAAACACCTGAACCATGAATTGAATGAGCAAAAGCAGATCTTTCCTCATGTGCACGAGCACCAGCATCCTTCTGGAATGGGGGAATACCACCATATAACCTTGGAGGTGAAGGTTCCCTCCTTCCCATGTATGAACCAAATGGAGGCATTTGATCAAGAAAGGCCGGATGGGCAGGATGGTTTAAAGCAGAAGCTTTATCACGAAAAAGATGATTTCTGAGCCTAGCAGTTATTTGCAAAAGGGCTTCCTGAACAGCTCCAAATTCACCACTTACCTATAGAATGAGGCAAAAATGTCAATTCTTAACTCATAAAAACAGCCAAGATAGTAATTAAAAAAAAAAGAATGAAGAGAAAAAGAATGATTGCACACTGTCAAAGATGCAATAAGTGGCCGAGTTCTACAAAATAGGACAAATGAATATTTAAATAAGGGTATAGCACATATCATACTTGAACTATTTCATCATTTTCTGGCACGCCCTTTGGGATCTGATCTTTACTCAAAACACGAATATGGGCTCCAGAAAGCTTCCTCATTTCTGCTATAATAGAACCACCTTTTCCAAGAAGACAACCTGTTTGATTGGGAGTAACAAGAAGCCTAGACAAGACAGAATTATCTTTAGTCTCAGGTACTGCCATAAAAATTCTGTGCTGGACACGAAGGACTGCATCTTGGGGTGGGGATATTCTATCACCTGGGAGCTACATAATGAAAGACAACATAGCAAATTAAGCAGTTATATAGTACCATGTCCATAAAGAAGTTCGATTTATTGTATATACTATGAAATCACTCATGAAATCTGAAAAAAATCGGTTTGTATATGAGAAAGCCTAACCGACCTTCCGTCAACTAGATTAAAAGAAATGATAGCATATCAGCACTAATAATGATGAATTTCTCATGAACCTTAAACTTTTCAAGACACTTATGTGATCTGTAAAATACATTCTAGCATTTAAACCTAATATCATCAGTAGAGCTATCCTTAATATTGAGGATCAGCTTTATAAATCCTTTATCTCAGGTTCCTATTGATTGACACTTCTAATATTAACTCTAGTTTAAGCATTGCCTTTACAATTTCTAAACCAAGACCACAATATCACTAAAGTTTAATAATCAGCATATCATGAACTCTGATTTCCTTAAATAATTGCTGCTAGGTTTCCTAATATCATGAACTCTGGTTTCCTTAAGCTTTAAGAGATAGGCTTTCCTTTTACTCCAATTTTTATAAGGGAGTTCAAGAATTTGAAGATCAGATGAAATTAATAGTGCAATGAAGGAAGCTAAATGTAGAAGATATTAATCATTTTGTCGTTTCATGATTGACAAGAGATACAGAAACCTTTCATGCATGTTGAAGAAAACGTTTTGTAGTTTTTTCAACAAGAGATACAGAAACCTTTTTTTGCATGCCCCAATTAAGTAGCTATGCTTATGATGATGCATATATACACACAGACACACATAGAAACAAGGGAGACGTGCTTATGCAAGCTGCCTTCAAAAAAGATTTAACTTTTGTGATTTTATAGTTACAAACTAACTACCCCAAGCCTTCAATCGAAGTTGCATCACTCATATATCTAATATACCAGTCCAATTTTCTGCTATCAAATTGGTAGCATCTTCTCCTTGTACTTTCTCTCTTATGGTGCTTCTAAAGATCGAGCTAGACACTTTGTGAACTCTACTGAACTAAGTAATTTTACTCTCCTATTTTGCAATAGTGTAAACTACGTGCATTTTTCACAAGTTTGCAATTTTTCTAGTAACTATTTGAAGAAATCCTACCTCAATCAATGCACTACTTAGATCTATCATATTCAATGTTGACGACCTTCAAAATTCCTTGCTTATTGATACTACTTCTTATGTAATCCAAACCATGAGTGCTAAGGTAAGACGCATATTCTGTCCGAGGCGTATACCTCCATGGGCCTCAATAAGGGCAGAAGTCATATCCGTGGAGGCTGTTGCAATCCAAAATGTTCAAATATCATTTGTTCATCGTAGTTGCATTAGGACTACTTGTCAGAGACCATGTAAGCCCTCTCTTGGACAACTTCTAGAATTGGCCCTATCACTTGTTATGAATGTGCGTAACTAATCAGCATTGCTTTTTTTTATTGGTGTAAATTGTAATGATATTTTGTGCCTGGCAACCTTTTCTGAAGAGGCTTGTTATTTGTAATAAGTAAAGCTTGTTATTTAAAAAAAATAGAATAAACAACTACATAGACATCCAAGGAACATTTCTTATAAAAAACTAAGAAAAATATGTATTTTCAGTTATTTGAACTAAAATAGCATTCATAGAAAATTTCAACCAAACACCTAAAGCCTGATTTGATTAGTGACAACAACTCAACAGCAGGTTTTACCAAACAATATCAATTATTTCACCTTCAACACAGCTTTTTACTCGTTACAAATTTTCCAACACAGGTTTTTACCTAAACATTACAAACAGCAAAGGAATTAAGAATCAAAGCTTTAATATTAAAAAATATTTAGTTTACAAAACCCGACAACAATAAGTTCAAAACCAATGAGGCCAAAATTAAGCAGCTAAACTATTGTATATAAATGTTTGGTGCAAAATTCATTTTCCACTTCCACTTCCAACCAAACAGCTAAAGCAATCCCCTTCCCCTACTTCCGTGCCTCCTCTCAAGAGCCCTTCCAGCCAAAAAGTAAAGTAATCTACCCTACATCCCACCCAGTCAAGAGCAGCCAAAGTCATAAGATTAGGTAGGCTAGAAGAATACCAAAAAATAGGGTACAACAACATTCATGTTGGGAGCAATCCCCACTCGCCTAAATCTCCACATCACAACCAAAAAAAATAAAAAATGGAATGGCTTCTTGATATGATATATAAGCCGGGCAATGTTTCTGAAATTTCCTAAAATCAACTTCAGTAACATAATTGGCATTTTAATGTAATGTCATATTTGGAAAACTTTGCAAATAATTCTAAAAGAAAATCCAACAAACACCGAAACACGTTAGATTAATGGCAGTGATATATTGTGTAAACTTCTATAATAAAATAATAAGCATAAAGAAAATTTGAAAGAACAATGAAAGCGTTACCGCAGGACCAGAAATGACTATAATCCGATTCTCTATCTCAGAAGGAGTCTCCAGAATTTTAATCTCACAGCCTGTTTCATGCTGGAGGTTCTTGACAATATTACCTCCCTTTCCAATAACACTTCCAACCTTATCATTTGAACACAACAATCGAAAGACAAGAACCTCTGGAGCAACTGGCATCTGCCCTGGTACAGGACCTTCATGGAACTTGGGAAAAGATGAAAGATCAGGAGCATCAAATGGTGGCCTATTAGGAAAAGGTGGCCCTTGAACAGGCATATTATGATAATTTGTTGGGTTAAAAGCCTCCGGACGAGGATTAGGAGGATATTGATGTGATGACACGGGAGGATTGTCTGCAGAGAAATCACGATCACGAGGTGGATTCTCCATGAGCTGCTGGGAAACTGATTGGAGAGCTTTTCTTATAGAATCTACACCACCTGAGATCTGTCCTCCAATGTGATATAGCCATTCATTAGATTATAAAAATACATATTAGAGGAGTCTCTTTCAATATATTCCAAGTTGAAAAATAAAGATGAATATTGGATTATAAGCAAATTGAGTATCTTCAAAAAAAAAAACAAAATAATAGTAACAAAGAAAACAAAGGCTAATAGGCGGGTTCAAACAAGTTCTGAACTATTTTTGTACTTTTGCAAAAAGGAAAAAAAAATCCCGCTCCAAATAAAATATCAATGATGACGCCTATCTAAAACACCCAGGGAACACAGTTAGCGTAATCTAACATGCACTAAGACTAAAAAAGTTAATCATTACCTGGACAATTTCATCATTTGGTGATGCACACAGAGGAAGCTTGTCCCTGGGAAGTATTCGGATGTGAGCTCCACTATCAGTTGACATCTGCTTGATCACACTTCCACCCTTTCCCAAAAGACAACCAACTTGGTTGGGGAAAACCAGCAATCTTATAGAAGGAGAAGATTTCTTATTAGCCTCATCCGCATCATCATTTTCCTGCTCACCTTCAATTATTCTCTCAAAAATAAGAAACAAAGCCTTTTGAACTAAAGATGTTGCCTTCACTAACTTTGAATCTTCAGTGACGGCAGAATCCTCCTTTTCTTTGCCACCCTCTACACTAGCTTTACCATCCTCACCGCCATCAGCATTACTGCCCCTATCATCTTGCTTAGTCTGCTCATTTCTAAACTCAGAATCTTTTGCATAACGACTTATGACTACAACTCTCTCATCACAACCAGGAACAATATCTTCAAGCTTTATTTTTGCACCAGTCTCGTTCCGTATTCTTGCTATAATGCCACCTCCTTTACCAATTACACTTCCAGACTTGGAAGAAGGGCAAAGCACACGGAAAACTACAGGCCCTGATGAAACTTTGAATTGACTCGGTTGAGAAACAGATGGAGAAGTTTTCTGCCACTTCCCTCTTCCATTTGGCTCCGTAGGATTGCGTTCAAAAGGTCTCTTGGCAGGTGTAAATGGCAAAGCCATGCTTCAGTTACGTTATGAACAGTTGTGGGCACTTTTATCTACAGTGAAAACAAATATTGTAAGCAAGAACTATCCATCGATATTACCCACCGACTAAAGATAAGCAACAAGATGAACCCAATACTAAATCATCATTTTGAAGTCACTTGAAAAGGATTTTATTAATTCAAAATGTAGAACCTTGAAGACCTTTTGATTTCTTAGAAGTCAGATGGTAGTTCAAAACTTCGAATATCCACGTCAGACATCTAAATTGATTCAAAAGACACTAAAATAAGTCACATTTAAAACATTTTAATCCAAATGGGTTTGCTTTGAGCTAAGTGGGACAAACAAAACATTCAAAAACCCCAAATTCTTGACAAATCACAGCAGTTTCTACTACTACCCTCAAAACCACCCCAATAAACCTATCGAAAATGTTAACACATAAATAAATAAATCTGAACTTCCTCACATATTGAATAAAAGCAAACGAACTACAAAAAGGAAACTCAATGTCGCAATTATTTACCCCATATTCCACTCATCATAACAGAAATACGATAAAACTAATACTAAACGAAGCAGAGGCCAGGCCTGGAACCGCCGAATAGTCAATAATGCACAAAGAAGGCGCTGGAAAGCTGGGGACGGGAAGTTGATGGTGCCGATAAGTGTCGTATTAGGGCTTGCGAGAAGAAAGGAGAAGCGAAAAGTTACCTGTCTTGCAGATGAGCAGACGAAGAAGGCGAAGAACCGTAGAAAAAGGTTAGGGTTTTGGAGAAGCCCTGCAGGTCGCAATCATTTACCCAATATCCCAGTCATCATAACAGAAATACGATAAAACTAATACTAAACGAAGCAGAGGCCAGGCCTGGAACCGCTGAATGGTCAATAATGCACAAAGAGGCGCTGGAAAGCTGGGGACGGGAAGCTGATGGTGCAGATAAGTGTCGTATTAGGGCTTGCGAGAAGAAAGGAGAAGCGAAAAGTTACCTGTCTTGCAGATGAGCAGACGAAGAAGGCGAAGAACCGTAGAAAAAGGTTAGGGTTTTGGAGAAGCCCTGCAGCGGACAAAGTGGCGCTCGTCGAATTTAGCTCTTAAAACAAAATGATATAGCCCGAAATAGTGCCATGCTGATTTCAGCGAATGGCCAATTCTTAAATAAGATGATCTTTCTATTTATTAATTTTATTTTTAATAAAGATTATAAATATTTAATCAATAAAAAATTCTAATATTTTGAAAATAATTTTAATATATAATTCTCATCCTAATTTTATAAGGAAAAATATGATAATAATTTGTTGATTAATAATGAGTGCATTTTTTATTTTAGAGATTATTTAATAATTTATTTAAAAAATGAAGGTTAAATTGACTTTTTGATATAATAAACCAAATTCTAATTTGGATGAATAAGTTTCCAATTAATGTAGCTCCATATTATAACAAGTGATATAAATTATTGACTTTATGAGATTGAGTAGGTCATGTGTAACTCATTAGTGATATGATAATAATAAATTTTATGTTATGTCATCAAATTGAAAAAATAATTTTTTGTGGTAGCTTCAATCATCGCAAAAGTGTTCATAACAATCAATTATGATCGCTTAATTTATCTCAAAATCAATTGCTATAGAACTTGTCACAAATAATTTGTGATCGAATCCAGCAATCGCAAATGTATGATTTAATTGCAAAAATTGGACGCAAAGTTCTTGATCGGTCCATGTGTTTTTTTGTTGTTGATATTGATTCATAAGATCCTATAATAGTCCTTTTTTATCTATGATTTGTATTATTATAATTTCATAAAACAATCAAGTATAAATTTGATTTTCATTTCATTTCCTTTATACAACCACAACTAGTTAATATGAATTATCAACTATACACATTCAAATTTTGTTTAACTATCGAGTTAATGTAAACATAGAAATAATTAGATAACAAATATAGAAATAATTTAATTTCAATGTCAAATAATATTACAATCAATGTGGTTATTATCAATAATACTTGCAAAAAACCTTATACAAAATTAAAAAATATCATGCTCATCAGCATCAATTCATCATCATCACTAAAATCATCACCACCAACATGAACTCCACATATAATACATAATCATTGCAGCTCTTTCAACATATATTATATAATCTCTTGACCTCCAGCCACGTGATACCGTTGATATTGACTACATTTTGATTTTATGATGCCAATGATTACCAGCTTTTGTATGTCAAACGATTACCAAAGTCATAAATGTGGCCCTTAGTAAGCCCCATATAGCTTTCATTCATGCATTGAGGTCGAACTCACCCTGGCTAGCAAGCACCCTACTCATAATTAGATATTATGACTACCTCATAATTTTCCCCCAAAAAATTCAATATATGTGGCATGCATATATATTATATAATTCATGCAATTTAATAATTGAAAATAACTAAATTTGATGCTTATGGAAATGGCAAAAAACAAGATGTAATCGTCTGTCTCTTTATTCTTGTGAGCCCTATGGAAAAGCTAATTTTTTTTATTAGAGCTAGTTTTAGTTCTCTCTTTTATTTTAAATCATACATTTGATTTATGATTCCATGTATGACATGTAAAGCATGCATGCAATTATAACACTCTTGCTTATCACCATCATGATGATGCTTTACATATTAAGATTAATGGTTTAAAATAAAATGAGAATAACAATCTAAGGACTAAAATGATGCATGCATATGTTACAATCACATTTACCTCTAATAATAAAAAAAGCTCTAATAATAAAAAAAAGGGATAATTTCTTTTTTTTTACACCAAAAAAAATGTTTTTTTTATTTTTTTTGCATAAATAAATCATTTATGTTTTTGTAAAGGGGTGCTACATGAGGACTTTACAAAAGATCAACAATCCTAATACTACACTCGCCCAAGCACGCATAACTGCGGAGTTTTGATGGGATTTGGAGCATTAATTCTGGTATGGTCGCACCCACAAAAAGATCATTTATGATACTTTCTAACCAAGTATTTTTAGAGTTTTCGTCTATCTTTTAAAATGAAGGGTAAATATAATACATCTACTCTCTTAATTGGGTATATAAGAGTGAAGCCACTCATTTACCTGAACATCATGTCTTTGAAACCTTTAACTTAAATTTATGCTTCTTTTTTAATAGTCAACATTTTATATCATAAAGCATAAAGCATTGCAGGTCGCACCATCATCTTATATGATTTTCTCTTAACTTTGAAGAGTACTTTTATATCTATCACACAACATACCCGATGCATTCCTTCACTTCAATCATCCAACTAAAATTCTACTAAAAATATACCCATCATAAATAGATGCAACATCATTATTAGCATCAATTTATTCCAAATGCAGAATGAATGTTAAGTTGTTTTTATAACCAGGGATCCTTTATTTGGTTCATGGGGCTGCCTGACAAGCCTCTTATTAATTGTGACTCAACTCTCAGGTATCTCCTAATTACAAATGAATTCCAGTCCCAACAAGTCAAAAAAAGTCCAAAAAATGGTCCATTCTGAATGTAGAAGAGAAAATTTTATAGGCAATTGAATTGCTGAGGTGGTGGTTGATGACATAAGAAATTGCGCTTGGTTAGTAAGGGTGCAAACGAGTCGAGTCGAGCTCGAGCCAAGGGGTGTTCGAGTAGAGCTAGACTACCAAATACCGAGCTCGACCTCAAGCTCGAGTCGAGCTCAAAAGATGAGCTCGAGCTTGACTCGTCTCACGAAACAAGTCAAGTCGAGCGGCTCGTCGAGCGGCTCGTCGAGCTCCTTCCCGACCTGCATCGTCCGTGGACAGCTACGTCATCCCGAGCTACGTCGATAGTAAAAGGCACGAGTGGGGGTGAACTGCTTGTCCTAATGACATGAAGATATGACAGAGAGTCATTGTGATACAACAGAATATTGTCCCTAGCACAATGTTCCTCCGTATGAAAAGCAATCAGGTGGCACCTTCAGAATGGCTAAACCAGGCAACAACTGTTGCAGGCTTACCAGAATAAGGTGGAAACTTTGGGAGCTCATAGAGGTTTGTCTTACCGAGACAAAAGAAAGCAGAATTTCAAGCAAATGTGTAGGAGCTAGTCCAATCAGCAAGTCTTGGGGCCAACTAAGATTTCGTTCTGCTTCTTAAAGTATCTTTTTCGTACAAAACGAAGCCTAAGTTTTTTACTAAAAAGCTGTTTTAAGAAGTGGTAAGAAAGACGTCCCAAATAAGCTTAAGATGTAAAGAGTGGAACTGGGCAACAGTACTGATTTTGGTGAGTTTTCTCCTCTAGGAAAGGGAAGAAGAGAAACTCTTTTACGAAAAAGACCCCTAATAAATTCAAACAAACCTCATAAATAAATGAAAAACCAGCAGAAAAATCAACATGCATTATCCTGAGAAACAATAATTATCAAAATAAATCATCAATGCATGGGAGAAGCAGAAGATGTAATCACAACCGATCAATCTCAACCCCCTAAAGAATATGCCCATAATTGATCCCGCAAATCGTTTCAGAGGTTCCTTGAATAATGACAAAAGGCCACAACAAGAAAAAACATGAAAGAAAGTAAACTCTCAATTAAAATATTATTAACCTCTACTAACCCAATTTTGCTCGAGATCTTTCTAATGCAGTCAAGTTTCTCACCACCTCGAGATAAATCAGAAAACGAGTAATAAATAAATAATAGCAATTAAGAACTGATTCATGCCATCAACTTCAAGGTTATTGAAACAAGCCAAACATATATATAAAGGTGGGTATATTACATTTTATTTCCACATCCACCACAGGTTTTTATATGGGTTATTTTTAAAGTCTAACTGAAAGTCTGAAACCATAAAAGTAGAAAATGTTTTGACTAGAACAACAAAGCTTCTGGTTTTAACGCCTGTCAGAAGCCACAGACTCAGCAGAGAACAAGTACTTCACCCTAGAGAGCACAGAATCATGTGCAGGATCATAAGGATGATCCTTTGAAGGAATCTCTAGAATTGCAGGAACAGGTTTGTTGTAGCTATCCACAAGAAACCTAATCATATTGGCAACCTAAGCCAAATAAAAACAGCTCATTAACCACTCCATAAATGATTTTCGTCTCTATTTATGACAAAAGATATGTGAATGGAGGCACAACTGTGTAAAAAATCAAGTACCAATATTTAAGTAAAGAGAATTGAACTAGAATTTTGAATAGATGTTGGATATGATAAGGCAATCAATAGAACATTTGCAAGTAATAATTACAAACAAAATAGATTTAGAGTCCGTTTGAGATAGCTATAGCTATTTATAAAAGTATTGTAAAGTTGTTGTGACAAAAAAATTTATGGATATTATAAATTTTTTTTCTTTTGAAAATTCTGATAAAAGCACTAAAATGATCCCTTGACTCTTCATAAAGGATCAAAATGATCTCCAACTGTGTTAAAGATTATTTTGATCCCTCGAGTCATTAAAAATGAATAAAAATAGTCCCATGTTGGGACTATTTTACATGGGACTATTTTTTTTCATTTTAAAGAGTTGAGGTACTAAATTGATCTTTTAATATAGTTGGAGATTATTTTGATCTTTTATAAAGAGTCAATTGACCATTTTTTATTCTTTTCTCTGAAAAAAATTAAATAACTTTTTTATAGATATCACAATCTAGCGGATCTAACTATAAAAAATTACTTCTCAACACAAAAATTTATTAAGAGCTACAAGAAAGCAGTGGTCAAACAAAACTATAGCTACAATATGCAAGACAAAGTAATGAAAAAGTTGCCCCAAATAGACATCAAGGCTTATTTGGTTGAATGTAGGTAAAAAAATATATTTTAAAGAGATAATTTTAATTTCACTTATTTTTGCGTGAAAATGAATTCATAAGATTTGAAATATTTTTTAAGTGTTTGTAGATTTGAAAATTCAACTGATTTCTAACAACATTCCAACCAAATGTTAGAATATAGAAAATTCATAATTTTTCAAAACATACTTATAACTGAAAGCAAAAAAATAAACCCCTGAAGTAAAACATAAATGAAGTACAAGAGCAAAAAAATACTTACATATTGACTAATAAGAACTATTGCAATATCATCCTTTGCGGTGAACTCTTTGAATGCATCTTCAATTGCTTTTACAGTTGTTTCTAAACCAGTTGAAATAACATAAAAACTTATCAGACATAACTAGTCAGACAAACTGACATGAGATTAGCTAGAAGAAAATTGGTATATTTCAACAAATTAATTATTCCATTAAGCATGCATAAAGTAATAATCTATTAGGAGGGGAATATATATATATATATAAAGATCACCATCCGTTGACCTATCATGCAAGGAATTTAATGATGCACAAAAGACTTTAAAAGGGATGGCAGCAAGATAAAAAAAAATCAGCAAACAGATAGCATTTGCATTGTTATGGCAGTTGATAGAAACATCAATGCACGGATATAAAATGAAAAATATTCGGATTATACAAATACAAACATGAGAATTTAAGACTGTTTATCAGATGTTACTTTGCATAACGTGTAGATTGAACATAAGTTCTGTATCAGTTTCACCTTCGCAGCCAAAAAAGACAGCTAAAGCTCATAACTTTATTACTCATTTTATCATTAATTTCCATCTATTTAGAGTTCTTACGTTAGTGGTCTCAAAATTCAGATTTCATATTCTACAGGATGATAAATATTTTCCAAATAGATGAATAAAACAATTGGTGAAACACAATGTAGATATCCGGTATTAAGTCATATAACCACAGTGTACTCAATGGCGCTTGCAACATATTTTATAAGGGATTCACATTCTTGACCCCTTCATTAGAGGGCAAGAGCAAATCCACTTACATGATCACTGATAAGTCATTCTTTTAATTACAGATTGATAAACACGCAATCTTGCAGAAGCACTTAGGTTCTAAATAAGTTTCATCTAAGTATTTACCAAGAGATACCAATAACATAACACTTCAGAAGATGATCATGCAAAGTTCATATAATAAAGAAATCAAATATGTTTCACATGAAGCATATCAAGAAGCTCATGTTGCATCTAAGCTCCCAAATCAGCTGCAACTCAGTATGAATTGAAAGTAAATGCACGTCAGAACTTGAAAAGTATAGCTTACAATACAAAACATAAAACGAATCTGACGTTTTAATACAAATAATGTACAATCGACTGAAAAAAAAAAAAGTTAGGTGAGCTGAATGTAATAAAATATAAAGATAGTCATTATACTGGAGTCCACAATGAGGTAGTTCGTCTTTCTTCGCAAATCCACATTACCAACTCCAGCAAGTAAAAATCCAGTCACAGTGTCCTGAATTGTTAAAAAAAATCGCAACTCTTCAAATCAGTAAATTTCCATAGAAATGGTGCATATGAAACACATAGCATGCTACCAATTTTTATAAAAAACTATATGATGATCGTGGTCCATAATGAAATTTTGTAACAGTGTATGCTGAGGGGAAGGCTTGATTGAATGTACTAATGGTTGATTTCTTGGTATCACACAGAAGATCAACCAACACTTGGAAACACTCCAAGGATTCATAATTTATATGATATTTCAAACAAGGGTTGTAACTTCAGATTAAATCACTAGTGCACTCCATTGAATAATGAACTGTGACAAATCATATATTGAAACCTAGAATTCAAATTTACTGAATCTATGTTGATGATAAGAACAAATCATGGTCCAGCAATACTATGGAAATCTCTATACAAACTGAAAAGAAACCAAACCAAAATCTCCAAGCGACATCAATGCATTTGTGAAAATGAGCCACAAAAAAATAAACAAAGCTCTTCGCAAATTCAATTCATTATTATTTTCATTGTTCATGTTAGACTCAAATTCATTAATGTCAGATATTTATTTATTTGTGTTTAATTGTAATTATTTGATTTGTTCATGAACATCAATGAACACAAATAAATATATCAATCAAAGGGCGATTTTTTCATTATTTTGAATAAAAAAAAAAGAACAATAAAAAAAGAATCAAACTCAAAACCACACCAAAAGGCAACACTTAAAACCATTTACAAATACTACATTATGATTTCATTTTTTGCGTTATTTTCATTACAACATATATAAATATTTAATAATAATATTTTAAGAAGCTTTTACAAGCCAAGCATAAACATGAAGTTCTGTTGTGCTTGATTCATTCAGACGTGAAGCCTAAATATAATGCTCATGTTAGGCTCATTAATAAATGAATAAGCTAAGCAAGAGACAAACATGAGCTGGTCTCAAATATCCAGCGAGCTAGATGAACACCCTTAAATGTAGATATCATTTTCAAATTTTCCTCGAGACTAACCTGGATGCAAGACATAAGACATGCTGACAGTAATAGAATAATGCAAGACAATTACTAACTAGTAAAAGCTCTCCTCCTGTTGGGCGTAGCAGCAAATCTAATGATATTTTTGGAACACCACTTGTGAGTTGGCTACCAGAGTGATTGTTCATCAATAAGTAAGCGAAATGAATTATTTTATATACAAAAAGAAGCATACCTCATCAGCAATCATAGCTATGAGAGCAGAACTCTTGGTAGGTATCTGAGTTCTCCCAGCCATTGTGAGAAATTGAGAAAAGCCTGAATAATGAGGATAAAACCACTGCAAATAACAATCCCGAAATATTTAATAACCTGGCTATAAAGAACTCTTATCATCCTGAAAGCAATAAAACAAATACAAAATATATCCAGAAGCTATAACTAGACAGAATATGCCTTTATTTAAAAAGTTTCAAAGTAGTATTAAGCTTAAAACTGGTTCTTCAAGGTTAGTAGACATGGAGCAAACGAGGCAACTAGGTGATAATAGAAGGATATTGAAAGCCCCAATATGCAGCCTTACAAAGAAGCATGAGAGTTGTAGCAACAGTGAAATTTTACAACATCTTTATAAATCTTTAATTAACAAGGATAGAAATAGTTTTTGTATGACAAACGCAGTTGTCATCTTATGCAAAGTCGTAATCCATCTTTCTTCAGCATTAACACAATCTTAATAACTCAGCATCAGCTTTACCCTTTTGTTCATTATATTTAAGATGTTAGTCCAGTGTGGAATCCGATTGTGTAGACCAATCAGGTTGTATTGTTGACTCAAACTTCAATTCCATCAACAAAACTTGCCAGAGGTTGCATGGGGGGCCTCCCCTTGCTTAGGTTCGAGGGCTTTGCCCCCAAGATTTTTTTTTCTTTTCATGCAGCCTAACTCCAGTGCTACAGCGCTGCAATCTCTGGTTGGAGATATAGGGCAAAGACGTTGTAGGTCGGATGAAAAATAGAGAGTGGAGAACTACGACGCTGCGAGTCAGGATGGACAGTTTTCTTGCTTGTTTTTAATGTTTAACTTAAAGGTTTGTGTCCCTTGGGGTGGTTAACGTGTGTCACTTTATCAGTTCTGTGAGAGTACGAAATAAAGAGTGAATAAAATAAAGAGTGAAGGAGAAAAGCAGAGAGTGAGAGAAAAAGAGATCAGTACAAAATTCTCCGATTTTCAAAGTAAATTTCTTGGTGTCACTACTTTGATGTGGTGTGGCTCCGTGATTTTTTTCCCGGTTTCGGAATTTTGCATGTTAAATCTTGGTGTTCTTTCATTTTCGTTGCATTTTATCTTTCTTATTTGTGTTCACTCTGCGTGGTTTTCCTTCCCAACATAAGAGCATGTATTTGGTCTAAGTTATAGGTTAGCCAAATGGTTAAAAGCCATTTTTCAGTATCTTCATACCAAGTTATGATTTAGAATGACTTAGGTTTACAGTTTTTAATGTACCTCTAGTAGGCAGATTTAGTTAGGGAATGTGAACAAAGACGTTTTTTTATTGATAGATCCCGATGTAATCCTATGAAAAACAAGAAAAATTTATTGGGTCATCATTTTGACTAACATATCCCATCCTCACAAGAAATGAAAACTCAATCTCTTCTCTTCCTAGGAGGAATAATTTAGGAAATTAACAAAGAATTAAGTGAGAAATAGGAAAGCTCACAATATCATAAAAAAACAGTGTAAATTATGATAACAAAGAAAAATGAGTGGTAATTTATGATGCTAGGGAAATTGATGGCTTAGTTTATTCATTGAGAAAATACATGTTAGAGGCTTTGAATTCAAAGGTGTTGATCCCCATTTAAATAGTAGCAAATATTTTGAAAGAGAAACAATCGATTCTTATAGCCTCTTTTGTGGTCGAGAACGGTATATCAAAAGCAAAATTTCAGAAGCAGATGCAGTGGATTATAACCAAAATGAATTTGAATACCCATAAGATATAGCTAACAATAGAAATATAATATTTTTAATCTATTTATGAATCGGGCCTTGGCCTAGTGATTCATACCCCAGTTTACAGCCATGAGATCATGGGTTCATTCCCTACTCCTTACACCATTACTCATTTCTTAGAAAAATACCAGGCACACATGTTCATTTGGCGCTATTGAATCAAGATGTATACCCTTTAGGGGGTGTTTGGCAACAGGATTTACACTGGATTTGAGCTGGATTTAGCGGAAATCCTGCCAAACGAGATTAAGGGGCTGTTTGGTATCGAATTTATGTTGGGATTTAAGTCGGATTTAGGCTAAATCCCTCGGTTCGGTGGATTTAACGGGATTTAGCCGAAGAAGCGCGAGAAAGGGAGAAAATTACCTTCACAGCTACCGAGCTCCTGTTCTTGCTTCCGATCAAAATGTCGTAACTTCCGATCGGACAGGAAGGAGAAAGTCGTAGAAGGAGCGAAGTCGAATAGGCACGAAGGAGCCGAAGAAGCGACGCGTGCACTCTATACACCTCCTGCAAAGCAACGAAGCCGAGCAGCAACGACGAAAAGAGAAGATGATAGGCTAACCTAGACGCCTTATGTTATTATCAAGACTTTGAAAATCGGACCGGATAATGAACCGGAAAAAAAAGAGTTAGAGGTTTGATGGTTCGACTGGGGTCGAATCGAATGACGTAATAAATATTTATTATATTTAAAAAATAACCATATATTTAATTCTAAAGAGGATTTGAAATCTATAAGCTTATAATTGGCAATATTTGGTCTTCATTTGAGATAGTGTTTTGACTATGCTCATACACATATATACAACTAACAACTATCAAGACATCAACAAATTTTCTCACAGAAAATCATTGAATTTTTATTCAAAAAATTATCAAATAAATTTTTAGCAAATTTTTTTAACAATAAAAACATTCTCAAAAGGAACTTACCTAGTCTTCAGCAGCTCCATGCTTAAGCAAATCATGGGGCTCTTGCTGATCATAATTATTTTTGCTTACAGAAAAGCTTCGCCTTTGATCGGCAGTGGCGGTGATGACCAGAAGCCATACATCGACTGTGCTGCTAAGGAGCGAGCAAACCTCCGGGTTGGTAGCCATTGTTGACGATATCATCTCACATTCCAAATCAGAGAAAATAGAAACCCCTAAATGCATAAAAAAGAATGTGCAAGAAATCTATACAGATTAAAGACTTCAGATTCTGAAACAAACCAGGATGTTCGGTGGTTGGCTTGTGGTTTCACGAACTAGTACGCCTGCAGGAGGAGATGGGGTTGGCTTCTTGATTCGCGAAGGAGAAGAATGGAGACGGTGAGTCCAGAGCTGCGAATGAGATTTTTTTTTTCCTCTGTCGCTCGAAGCCGAAGAGTCCAGAGCGGGATGCGAATGAGGGTTTTTTTTTTCATCTCTGCGTATTAGCTTTCCCTCCTCAAATCGCTGCCGTTGGATCTAGATCCGAACCGGCCGGTTATCAGAAATCGGAACCGGTTCGGCGGTCAGACCGCCGGTTCGAACGGGTTTATCCCGGTTCTCAGCGAAAGCGGTTCTCATTTGAACCTTAACCGGCCGGCTGGCCGGTTCGCGGTTCAACCGGTTGAACCGGCCGGTCCGCCTGCCAAAGACCCGACGTCTTGTTCAAGGCCCGACGTTAAGTCCCGACGTCCTGCTGAAGACCCGACGTCCTGCTGAAGACCTGACGTCCTGCTTAAGACCCGACGTCCTACTCAAGGCCAGACCATCAACATCCGATCTTCCAAGTGACACTGGGACTTACACCTGACTCCTTATCTCCTACCGCCTACGGTCCTTCTGACCACTGTCGCCTACTACGGTCCGTCCGACCTCCATCACCAGACAACGGTCTTTCTGACTACGGTCTCTTGCCGACTACGGTCGCCGGCCGACTACGGTCTCCTGCCGACTACGGTCCCCGGCCGACTACGGTCTCCTGCCGACTACGATCTCCTGCCGACTACAGTTCTTCAGGCCTTTGTCGCCTACTATGGTCCTTCCGACCTCCATCAACAGATAACGGTCTTTCTGACTCCGGTCTCCTGCCGACCACGGTCCTTCAGGCCAAACAAACATGTATATGTAACTCTTACCATGTAATGCAATCTATATGATGTACATTTGCTACATCAATCCAAGGCCTTCTCCTAAGGAAGGGCCTCATTTGTAACCGACTACAAATACTAGTGGATTCATTCAAACCGGGCCAGGCCCCGTGGTTTTTCCCCATTTTTCAGGGGTTTTCCACGTAAAAACTTTGGTGTCTCTTAAGAACGCTACCCCCTCTCACTTATCTGATTGTGTGCTGGATCTTCGTACAACGCTAAGACGTTAAACTATATATTTCTCTACCGCCGCGAATATTCCAGGACGCAACAACTATAAATATAAAATTTTTAATCTATTTATGAATCGGGCCTGGGCCTAGTGATTCATACCACAGTTTATACTTTATAGCCATTAGATCATGGGTTCAATCCCTACTCCTTACACCATTACTCGTTTCTTGGAAAAATACTAGGCACACATGTTCATTTGGCGCTATTGTATCAAGAGTTATACCCTTTAGGGGCTGTTTGGCCAACATGATTTACGCCGGATTTGAGCTGGATTTAGCGCAAATCCTGCCAAACGTGATTAAATATCAGGGCGGAATAAATCCTCCATTTCCCTCTTTTTGCCATAAATCCTGGATTTACTAAATCCTGTAGTTCGGCGGATTAACGGGATTTGGCCGAAGAAGTGCACGAAAGGGAGAAAGTTACCTTTACAGCGAGCGAGCTCCCGTCGTTACTTTCGATCAAAATGTCGTAACTTCTAATCCAACAGGAAGGGAACGTCGTAGAAGGAGCGAAGTCGAACAGGGACGAAGGAGTCTAAAAACAGACTCATCCAAAACTCTACACTCATGCGAATGAATGGATCCGAATAGCAATGACGAAATAGAGAAGGGAAAAGCAAACCCTAGACGCCTCTAAGTTATTGTTGGTTAACTTAATTAATATAATTTAAAATATTAATAATTAAGTAAAACTACTTAAATAATGTTTACATATTAATTAAATTATTATTATGATTATTAATTAAATACTCAATTATTTCAAAATAATTAGTAGGATTAAATATAATTTCAAACCTACTTCCGATCAAAATGTCGTAACTTCTGATCCAACAGGAAGGAAACGTCGTAGAAGGAGCGAAGTCGAACGGTTTTCAATATTTAACCCTCTTAGAATTTAGTAAATCCGAATTTAGAAGATTTACGAAATCCTACTTGAATTAAATGCCCATTAAATATTTTTTATATATATATTTTATCACATGCATCTGCAATATCAACAAAAATTTGAAGATCTTTTTATTGCTCACTATTATTTTTAGTTAATTTCCATTAACTATCATAATTTCAAAACCATGTAAATATGCATCTCCAATCATTTAATATTTTCTAAGTAGGTTTTCTTCAAAAAAATGCTTATTAAACATAATCCCTACAATATTTTCCATTTATCTTTAAATCTTGATAAATATTTACTTCAACCTAAAGCTTTCCTTATTCATATTCTTCTCATATTTAAAACTTAATCCATATCTCAATGATATATTCAAAGTTCTACATCTTTACAATTAATAGAGCTAAATTGATCAACTTCTTTATGGGTCATCTTAATTCACATTTAAATCGATTGTACTTAGTTCATCATATAATATTCTTATTCTTTGAAAAGCTTTAATCATCATTCTTCCCTCAATTTTTAAAAATGGCTATCTTGCAAGATTTTATGATAATGAATGCATGGAAGGAATTTGCTTCCATTAAAGCAAGTTAAAATGGAGTTTTGGCACATGAGTTCGTTATTCAAGTTGAAGGATTTACCAAAATTAATGTTCACCCAAAACTTATTTTGAAGATGAGACAGAGAGATATAGAGAAGTTTTTTCAATGACCATTAATCTAGACTTGGCCTCCATATTCCACAATTTCTAAATTCATTAAAATGTTCAACTTATTTGGGATAATTCCTAATTATTTGATGCCAAATATGTTACCAAGCTTAGGGTCATTTGTTATATTCTTAGGACAAAATAAAGTCAAGTGTAATCTGAATCTTTTTTTAATGATAAAGACGTATAAGGATAAGAGAATAGTTTTATGTTTTTGTTCCATCAAAATGTAAGGATTTGAGAGTTTCTTCATCAAATTATTCTAACCTTGGTTGATCTTGAGTTATCAACTATTGATCATTTGGTGATTCTTAAATTTTGTATAGAAGAGTATGAGCGTGCATCTTAATATCTCATTGATTGGGTTTAAGTCAAGTTGGCTTGACTCAGTGAATCATAATCAAGGCTAGTTGGCTAAGTTGGAAAGATCAACCCGACGAAGTTCTTAGTAATATATTAAGCTCTCCGACTAAGTTTGTGTTAGCCAAAGTTTTATATTCATTGCGTATTCAGTCTAAGAGCCAATAGGCATAATCGCCCAAGTATCACACTACTCACCAGTATTCAACAATTACAATGAAGTTAGCTAGCAACTATACATATATCTATCCCCTATTAAAAAATCATATAAACTTTATGTATTTTTGGCCACAAACTTAATTCTTTTAATAGCAAGAACTTGTTTAATTTATTATGTAGCTTATATTACTCAAACTATAACATTTTAAGTATTATTTTTCTCAACCATAGTCTATAAATAGTGAGTTATATGATCATTTTCTTTAGTCTTATTCTTTTGACAATATCGCAAAATTTAAAATATTCTAACTCTATATCCTCTTATGTCTTTAAAAAATTTATCTTTTTTTAGTTATATATTCGTATCAATAAGGTTCTATTGAATCCTATATCATGCAAGACAAGATGAGTGTGGACCAATGCCAAGAACCAAAAACTAGGCTTTGGAGCAATAATTCATGGAGCAACAATATAAAGAGGTATATGAGAATGGAGAGCTAAGGATTCATCACTAGCAAATAGCTTAGCAAAATGTACAAAGACTCACTAGAATGATCTAAAGAGTTTTGAAGTGTATTCCTATAACCACTCTGCATGTTGAAAATTTTGAAGATGGGTCTTTAAATTCCATCATTTACAAACAACATCAATCATAGAGCATGATTTCAACCCTAATGATGGATTAAACTTATTTGTTTAAAAAGATAGAAAATACTTTCAGTGACAAGAACCAATGTTGATTGTCATGGCTCATTTGTGTTATCTCGAAATATTACACTTTTTTTATAAAGATCATGATCATGATACCTAACAACATTGACACCTCCAAAAGTTGATCAAATGACTAATAAAGCTGAGAAGTTGAAGGAATTTGTCCTTATAATCCTTATATATATAAAAAAAGACATTTGCTGAAGAACAAAAAAAAAACTACACATTGTTGGGGTGCTTCCAACAATTTTTATGAGGAGCACGAGCAAAAGCATCAAAACAAATTAGTCTCAAACAACTTCATTCGAAAGAGGCCGACTCGATTGTTATATTTATGCCTAATCATTAAAGCCCAATTTAAAATTGACTCGA